AACTAAAATTAAATTAGACATCGAAAATTCATATCAATCTTTTGTACAGTCAGCAGAATCTCATATAAAAAATGATCCTAATAAATTTTGGAATTTTATTAATGAAAGGAAGGGTAATAACTCGCTAACAACATGACATACAACAGTGTGTCGTTAAGTGATCCTGATGCCATCGTAAATGGATTTGCCGAGTACTTTAGCAAATCCTATAATGTATCCACAAACGCTACTCCACCATTTGACTTTGAATGTAACTCAATATTTAACCTCTCTAAATTTGAGGAAGAAGTGTTATGGGCTTTAAGGCAGATTAAACCGAAGAAAACCACCGGCCCTGACCATGTGCCGGCGTTTATAGTTAGAGACTGTGCTGTAAGTCTTACTGTACCTCTAATGATTATTTTAAATATGTGCTTTAAGCTTCATACTGTACCTAATTTGTGGAAAAGTTCTAAGGTTTGTCCTATATTTAAGAAAGGTGACAAAACGGGCATTGCGAATTTTAGACCAATATCGATAATATGCAACTTTAGTAAAGTCTTCGAAATCCTTCTGCACACACACTTATTATATTATTATTATATTTCACCCATGATATCATCCCATCAACATGGTTTTGTAAAAGGTCGATCTACTGTAACAAACCTCGTTAGATGCACACAGCATATCGCAGGCGTTTGACAGACTCGATCATAGGATTCTCATAAACAAATTGATCGGTTGTCAGAGTCTGTCATAAAACTGTACCGTTCATATTTGCAAAATCGTCAACAGTATGTTTTCTTAAACGGTTTTAAGTTTGTAGAATACTTGTCAACGTCTGGGGTGCCGCAAGGATCTATCCTTGGTCCTCTGCTTTTTAATATATTTATTAACGACATCGTGGAGTGCATTGATGTAATTGTCTTTTATATGCAGATGATTTAAAAAATTTCAGTTCAATTTCTTCTAATGCTGACTGCGAACGTATGCATAATAACATAAAATCAGTCGAAAATTGGTGTCGCTTAAACCTTCTCCCTTTAAATGCATCAAAATGTTTTATAATGTCATTTTCATTAAAACCGGATATTATTTTACTACGAGATAAACAGGTCATCTCTACAAAGACCTGATCATTTTGTCGATCTTGGTATAACTTTTGAATCAAAGCTCTCATTTATATTACACATTGAAAAAACTGTATCTGCTGCATCAAAAATGTATGGGTTTTTGTTACGTGTTAACAGGGAGTTTTTAAATATAGAAACTCTTAAAATGCTGTATTTTTCATTCGTTCGGTCTAAACTGGAGTAACGCTTCCATAATTTGGAATCCCCATTACTAAACTCATCGGAACAAAATTCATTTGCTTCAAACAGGACGGCGTTTATCCGGAAATAGGTACACCTCATCAATATCTGCTTAACAGACATAACTTTATTGATCTTGAGACAAGGCAAAATTGTCATCTAATCATTTTCATATACAAATTAGTACATAACAAAATCCATTGCGAACAACTATTAGAAAAACTTGCTTTTAACGTTCCGAGAACTACTACACGGTCGCAGTCTACTTTCTATCTCCCATCAGCAAGAACTAATGTTTTAAAATCATCACCACCGTATAATATGTGTACATTATGTAACTTAGTAACATCATAGATATATTTAATTGTAGTGTATATAGCATTAAGTCTGAAGTTTTTAAGTCCGTATAATGTTTACCTATTCTTATGTTTTCGTAATTATTTTTGTCAGAATTTCCTGCTCTGTAATTGGAATTGCCTGTTGAGCAGTGTATCAATCAATAAATAAATAAATGAGTGCATTAGAGATTGGACTCCCTAGACTTCAAACTCAGTCTGCCTCAAAAGAGAATCTAGTCATTGTTCAAAAGTTACTTCTTGTAATCGTAAGGGGTTGCAGGAATACTGAGACAAATCAATACGGTAGAAGACTTACGTCAAACCAATGAAGATTTCTAATAAATAAAAATAAAATATCTTTTTTTTTATTTATCATTTTCCTTGTCTCTGGACATAGCTTCATAATGCTTATCAGCTACATCTTTATGTTGTCGCATTCAATTTGAATTTCCCCCTGATCCGTCTTATTTGCAAGCTTAAATTGAAGAGAAAAAGTATCACAGGTATTACACGTGTCGTTGTTAGGGTTGCCAATCGTCCTGCATTTCGCTGGACGTCCACCATTTGGGTTGCATTGTCCAGTGTCCTGCAGCAACCTATTGCAGGACGATTATTGTACTTAATATCAGTGTTCCAAATAAATATCTCCAATTTTTTTATATTTTATAGTCACATTGGCAAATTAATAGTACCTAGCTGCAAAAAGTGATAAAAATATGATTTTAAAAGCAGTGACACTGTTAAGTAACTGTAACTCTTTATATTCTTTTAAATATTTATTTTATTTACCCAAAGAATCATTGTTTTTATCACTTTTTTTCGGATTGTTTATTTAAGTTTGTTGTTGTTTTTGCAATAATAAAAATGTCCAGAATTTATACCGTATGTCCTGAATTTTTATTACCTTTGTCCAGAAAAATTAAAAAACAAAGTTGGCAACGCTAGTCGTTGTGTGGCATTTTAAACGATAAGTTCATTTCCTTAAAAAACGTCCTATACAAATCATAAGGCCCTGGGTTTGAATATTTTTCTTGATATAAAGAATGCATTAATCGTATATTCAAATTGGAATCCAAATATTCTTTATCTATATGCCGACGACTATAATAACTTTTTTATCGGGGAAATGACTGAAATGAGTTGATATTTTCAATAACTTCATTTTTTCCTTTGTTTTGAAATTTTCGATGGTGAAGCATGAGCGCCTCTTTGATCTGATGTGGAAATACTTGCAATATTATTTTCTCTAGAAGAAAGCATGTACTTAAGAAATCCGTCAGTAACGTCAAAGGTTTTTTTTGAAACAATTTTGGCAAATTTTCTGCAGTTCCCCATTGATTTTAAGATGATATACATAATTTAGTGCTCGATGTCTTCGCTTTTTACCTCCATTTCGTAATCTTTGAGTGGCTTTGGGTTGCGATGTCACGAGCCCGTTAATGTAATCTACTCTTCTATTCCTATCATTCATTGCCCAAAATAATTCAAACAAGTCTTTTCTCACATAATCAAATCGATCGCTGTATTTCATTCAGCAATCGGGTAGACTTACAAGGCACTTCTTTTCATTTATTGCTTTACCATTTTCTGTGACATAAGATTTTCTTGAGTTTCTTTTTTCTTTTCAAAGTTTCCTTGATCTTTTGCTTGGTACATTATATTTCTGATTTTTATCGCTCTTGTTATCTCCGAAACATTGTCCTGAAATTTTAACTCTTCATCCTGATCAGAGGAGCTTCTATTATCTGAATCAGATTCCAATGACGATACAAAGTCGGGGTCAATAATTTCATCATCACCATCATCGGCAAAAAGATCGTCATTCTCTTTGTTTTAGAAAAAAAATAAAAACTCAATTTTAGTCACCACCCTTTAAGGGTGATATCTCGGAAAGGCGTGGGCTGAGGAAATTTTGTTATGGGAAAGACCCATCTTAATTTCATACGAGCAATCACCTCCTGAATTTAGAAACACCCTGTATTTACAGATTTTGACGGACTCAAAATATTGGTTTGTTGATGGGACATTTATACCAACTACCTACATAATTATGGCTAAATAATTTGGGGGAGTTCATCCTGTTCTTTATATGCTCTCCTGTCCAACAAACGGCAAACTACATATGCCCGAATGATTGGTATGATGGGACATTTACAGCCAGATGCAAATCCGGAGAAGATTTCATACGATTTTGAACTGGGTGCCATAAACGTTTTCAAAGAAGAGTTTCCAAATGCCGAGCTGCTAGGTTGTTTTTTTAAGTTGTTGAAAAATATAAAAAACTATTTGGCGCGATATAATACCGATGCTAATTTCAGTCTTCATGCACAAATGGTGAGGTTTTTGGCATTTGTTCCTGAAGAAGACATGGATATTGCAATCGACCATTTATTTGGAGAATTGTCTAATGAGTTGCAACCTATAATAGAATGGTTCGAGGACTCATACGTAGGACATCCTCAACGATAGGGTCAAGGAAGGCGCAATCCACTCTTTTCGATCACATTGTGGTCTGTCTACATCGTTTTGGAGGGTACAGACAGAACGAACAATCACGCCGAAGCTGCACACAGACGACTTGAAAACGAAATGTCCATAGATCATCTAACAATATGGAAATTTATTGATGCACTTAAAAAGTTACAAACAGGAAGAAACTTGTTTTTATGAACAATTACTATTGGGCCAGCAGACGCCAGCTAAATAAAAAAAAAACATCGCGATTGTGACGAGAGGATTTTAAAAATCGATTATAAAAAGAGAAATATAAACGAATATTTAAAAGCAATATCACATAATTATATTGTCATTCTTAATAATAAAATTAAAAGAGACGTTTCAAATATATTATTTTGTATGAATTACTACCTACCTAAAAAAAATACACTTGGCGTCGAAACGGCCGGTGTCGAAATGTTCTCGCGTCGAAACGTCCTAGACCGAACGAAGACAATTCTAGGAAATATTTGTTCCTCATACGGTTTCTAGTTATACATTTTATCAAATGTTTCAACATAAATTCTGATCAGTAATAAACATGGCTGAAAACATAACGTTCACTTCTTGTGAAAAACTTATCTGTGATTTTTTGTTGTGGGAACAAACATATAAACACCGCGTCAGTAACCAGTGACATCAAAGTCAGAATTTTTATCTAAGCATGCTTAGTTCTTGGAAAATATTCTGACAAACATGCTTAAAATCTTTTTGATGGATAATCATTTATATTCAATTTTGAATATACTCAAAACGAGTTTTTGCAGAAAACACTGACCATTATTAAAAAAACAAATCCTGGTGCCATTTTTTTCGAAAAAAGTCCCGCCTTTTCTAAATTTTGAGTTTAGGTAATGTTTTTTTTTTTTTCTAGAACGATTCAGACTCAGATGAAGAAGTAGAGGAAGACTGGGTATCTAAGGTGGAATGTTTGGCTGATCAAGTGAAAAAGACTCATAAAATGTGGAAACATAAAATGGAAAAGTCTGATTATACTGTGACAAAAGACAGTAAAAAATGAATAATGAATTTTAAGTTTCGAGTGATATTTTTTAGGGTAGAGTGTAATTTTTTAGCGTTTATTGTACTACATATTGTTTATAGCACTTTTTAATTTTTCCAAATCACTAGCACTTTTATACTTTTTATGAAATAAAATTTTATATAAATGAAACAGCAGCATATGTTTATTAATTTATTTTTAAGTTACATACTATGTTAATGCTGATTGAATTGTAGAAATAGCTTGCACTTGAATGGTCTGGTTATCTACAGTCCTGCAAAATAAATAAAACTGATTCTAACTTCAAATAATCAATAAAAATAATAATTATTATTAACCTATCATGTCATAATTTGACGTGTGTTAACTTCAGGTCGAAACGAAAAGTGTCAAAATCTACCCCTCCTTCTATTAGGCATTCCAAACAAAATATCTAAAGAGTTGCGACCTAGACCCAGAAAATTGATGAAGGGGTCACTGAGGCTAGGGGGAAATATTAATCAGCTTAAGTATATATAATTTTTAAGAAAATCTATTATACATTTTTCCTAAATTGACAGGCCTACTATTTCGAATAAAAATAGCGTCCAAGATGGAAGGAAATGTCGCAACTCCTCAGATATACCAACCCTGCCCTCCGCCAGCTATTGTTTGACAGTTCGTTAGAATACCTAATGACCTAATTACGTCACGTATCGAGACGCCTATCTTCGTTCGGCAGACTGCGATTCTAATATCGAGACGAAATTCACTCTATTGGATACGTGATGTGTCGAGTTTGCACATATGAATCCTTCACGTGATTCATCTTTAAATTAGGCATTCTAAACAAAATGGCTGCTTGTTGTCCTTATGGATTTGACAGGGTCAAAATGATTATGTGCAATACAACCTGCTTTGAGCAATCTATAATTACACATGCCCGCGAAAATTTTGTGATCTAGCCATTTTATATTTTTTCACCTATTTACAACTTCTATATAGCTAAAAATAACCCCCTTTTTATTCGATCACGTAAAATTTTTTTGTAAACTAGTATCAAGGGTATTATCCCTGAACATCACGAACAAATTAATTTGAATTCCTTATTTTTCTTCAAAACGTTGATACGCGTTAAAACCTCATTTTAATTTGCGCATTTGTAGGGGGATTTACTGGTACTTAATAGAATATTGTTGGGGATTCCCCGAGACTCGATTTATTCAGGAAAGAGGGCGATATATTTAGTATCCCCGTGCTATTGAGACAGGGCGTTGTCTATCGAATTATATCGGTGTTTCGTTGTGCACTTTCTATTAAAAAAATGTCTAGTAGGTGTTGTAAAAATAGGCCTGATGACTTCTGTTATATAGTGAAGAAGTTTAAAAGAAACATTACTGATTTCGGAAAAAATGTATATTATGCATATTTTAAAGTCAGTCTTGGAGATCAAAATAAACCTTGAGCGCCACATGTTATCTGCAAGATTGCGAAGAAGTCTTGAGGCATTGGTTTAAACTGTTTAAAGGAACAAGAAAAGCCCTACCGTTTGGAATACCAATGGTCTGGAGAGAACCTAAAAATCACATTGACGACTGCTATTTTTGTCTTTGTGATATTAAAGGTCATAACACAAAATCTCTAAAGTATATGACGCTGTTTCCCCTAAGGTATTGCAGTCTATCGAATTAGAATCTTCAACAGATTCAGAAATTGACAATTTTAAGCCATCTACCTCAGGAACCCGTGAACCGCAGCTATTTTCTCAAGTAGAACTGAATGACTTAGTCAGGGATTTGGGACTTCCAAAAGACCTCTCTGAGGTTCTAGGATCAAGGCTTAAAGAAAAAAATTACTTGCTCCAGGTACTATATTTTATTGGTATAGAAATCGTGAGGCTGAATTTGTCAATTACTTTGCCGCAGCTGGTTCACTTGTATATTGTCAAAATGTATCTGACTTGGCTATTCACCTAGGTGCTCCTGAATACAATCCTGCCGAGTGGAGACTTTTTATAGACTCTTCAAAGAGGAGTCTTAAAGCTGTTCTACTTCATAATGGCAATTTATATGCATCAGTTCCTGTTGGTCATTCTAAAAGAAAATTACGAAAATCTTGAGGTACTGCTTTTAAGAATAAACTACAGACAACATAACTGGATTCTATGTGGTTACCTTAAAATTTTAGGGTTGCTTATGGTCAACAATCCGGATATACGAAATACCCATGTTTCCTATGTGAGTGAGACAGTAGAGCAAGAGATGACTACTGAACCAAAAAAACTGGCCACCAAGAAAAAATTTAACGCCTGGCTCCAAAAACGTAATTCGGGAAAGCCTAGTTGATTCCGAGAAAATTTTATTATCCCCTCTACATATAAAATTGGGGCTGATGAAACAATTTGTCAAAGCTCTAGACAAAAATGGTGGTTGCTTTAAGTACTTATGTGAAACATTTCCGGGTGTCTCTGAAGCTAAATTAAAAGAAGGCATCTTTGTTGGGCCACAAATAAGAAGGTTGATGAAAACTAATGAAATTAAGACGGTTATACAGGAAGACGAAAAAGAAGCATGGACAGCTTTTAAACAAGTTATAAATAAGTTTCTAGGAAACTACAAAGACCCTAAATTTGAAAGTATTGTTGAAAACATGTTGGACAAATTTAGAAAGTTAGGCTGTAACATGAGCTTAAAAATTCATTTTAAACATGCTCATCTTGACTATTTTCCGGATAATCTTGGCCATGTTAGTGAAGAGCAAGGGGAGCGCTTTCACCAGGACATAAAAGAGATGGAACGGCGATATCAAGGGCGCTGGGATATCAAAATGATGGCCGACTACTGTTGGATGCTTAAAAGGGACCGTCCTACCGCAGAATATACACGAAAAACAACAAAAAGAAGCTTTTCCGGAAAGAGAAATATTTTTCAAGAAAACAAAGCAATAATGTATGTTATTTTTTAACTACTTCCCCGCTTTTATTGTTTGTTTTCTTGGTTTATTATTTTCTTTCTTATCCAAAGTAACTATAAATATATTTTTACTTTTTGCATTCTTGTAGTATTTTGTTTAAAAACCTTACGTGATAAAAAAAACTAAAAGCAGATTTGAAATCAGCGTCACTGAAATACCCAATTTCAGTTGAAAAGTTCAATTCACATTTTACAGAGTATTTAAACGCAGGCCTGTGTTATGTATATCATTGACCCTGTCAAATCTAATAGGCAGCAATTTTGACAGGTTGGTATGCATAATTAGGCAAATATACAGCTTTTTGACTGAAAGTCGACTTACATAAGTTCCGGTAAAGTAACATGGACCGATTCTACTTTGATTTCCGACTTGGATACATGAGTAGCTAAATGTTGTTGGAGAGAGCTACACTGTGAGAAATTCTTACTGCAAATCTTACAGCTAAACGGTTTGTCCCCTGTGTGTGACCTCATGTGCACTTTCAAGCTGCTCGAACTGGCGAATCTATAAACAAAATTCATTAATGCTTAGATATCCAGTATTTTTACTATCTGTATACAGATAAGGAGAGTATAGGAATCATGATTTTGTAAACCGCTTGGACCGCCCGCGCTCATCGTATCACCTCCCCGCGGCACTAAAAAGTAACACCAAGACATGAATAGCTAGTTATTTTATCTACTTTGATATATGTGTTTGAGCTCAATTTCTAGGGCGTGGGTTAGGTTTTCAAATAATTCTAATAACTTTGAAAAAGAAGTTGGGCACCACTATATTTAAAGCTTATACAATTAACTCTACATTAGTGATAAAAATATAGAAAATCACTAACAAATTATACTTTAGATAAGGTAGGTATCAAATTCGGGTCCCGTCGCCTTTAGGGACAGTGGAATTTTAAAAAATTTATTTTTTATCAGAAAGCGTATTTTAAATAATACATTTAAAAAAAATTGCGGTAAATGCATTATTTAAGCCAAAAAAACATATTTAATTTCTATAAAAATCAGCATTTTGACGACTGTAAACATCGAAACTCGATGGTTTCTGTCAAATTTGGAAAATATAATTGCAACGTTGCCGGATTGTGATAAAATTAATAGTTAGTGGAAAATTGTGATTGCGCATACCGGTCCATAAATATGCAACAAGAAAACGAAGCAACGACTTCTCGTAGGGTGGCGACTTCGCCGCCATCAAAAAACATTAACCCATACCTGGCTACGCCGACCGGCATAGACTCCAACGGCCTGGACACAGCTCAAATTGAATAATTAAATAAAAAGTCTCAAATAAATACATTTATATTCTGGTTTTATCATCTGGCCTGGAGCTATTGAAAAAACAGCCACTGTCATTCCTGTTATGTACGTTCTTTTACTATGTTTGACAACACCACATTTATAGAAATAAAAATGTTAGCTGTCATATTATTCATAAACAAAAATAATATAGAACGGTATTACCATGAATATATTTATTTAGAACAAATAAAAAGCAATTGGCAACATCCCTAAAATCACGCACAGGCGCTCTTAGTGTGACTGTCAAATCTAAAAAATTAAAATCAATATGGCTACGTGAGAATGTCGTGAATAAATGCATATTCTTAATTTTTTAACTTACAAATGTGTTTTAATAATATTTATTGCTTTAATTAGGTTAGTGCACACTTATAGAAGATTAAAATGTGTAAAAATATTATAGTTTTACTTAATCTTTATGGAAAAAGTGACAAAATTACTGTCCCTAATATCGACGGTAGGCTTAAATTCTAATTCACATAAGTTTGCACATAATTCAAATTTAAAACAATTTATTGATTAAATCAATTGCACACTTATCAGTAGGTAAATAAGGTAATATACGGTAAGTTAAAGGTAAAATCAGGTATTTCTTCCTTCGTTTCTAACTACAGAAGTACATCAATCTCCCAACATTATATACCAGTCAGGCAACTTCTACCAAGTGATTTGGGATTTTTATTCATAACTCTCAATCGTGACTGTGAATGGATCTTCAAGGTAAAAGTTTCTTATTTGTAATCGAATTCGAACGATATTCCAGATAAATGATTCTTATTTGTACTCGAACTCGAAAAGATCTTCAAAAATATTCGAACCTGAACCGTCTAGAAATAGCCATGAGCTTATAAAATCAGAGGGTCATTAACATAAATAAGTATAATTTAATACTTCGGATGACCGAGATTAATTAAAATATAAGTGACCTATTTGTCGCTGTCTTTGAAATCAAAATGTCACTTTCTCTGACACAAAGATAGACGACAAATGACATTTGAGTAAGAGGTGATTGTGTCCAAAATAACGAAATAACGGTTCCAACCGTTACAAGACACGTTGTGTTCGAGGTGTATTTTTGCCAGATCGCCATGCTTTGTTTATAGTCTGTCGCATATGTGATGTGATTAAATTTCGGTTTTGTAGATTATTAGTTTGTGTTAATTCGCCAGCGCGCGTTTCCATTGTACATGAAAGACATGGATGTACAGGGTGTCCGGTAATGAATTTAAGGGCTTAACGCAATAAAACTTACCCCCAGAACATGATTTACCAGGATTATTAGCATTATTAGAATAAGTAAATATGCGGATTTAGTGTTTAAACAGAATATCGTTTAAATGCCGATCGTCTTTTTCGTAGCAAGCTGTTAATCTGGAGCGTAAGCTGCGGAAAACGTTCTGACACATCGCCACGGGTATGCCACGTATAGCATTGGTGATGCGGTCCTTTAGCTGCCGAATGGTTTGTGGCATCGGTTTCGTGTAGACGACACTTTTCAAGTATCCCCATAGGAAAAAATACAGGGGCGTTAGGTCTGGTGAGCCTCGAGAAAAAGGAATATCGCCATTGATGGAAATTACCGTGCCAGGAAACACTTCGATCACTGCATTTATGGATATCGCTGCAGTATGTACCCCATCTTGTTGAAACCCCGTGCCGTTGTTATCATAGCCAGGGAACTGTGGAAGGGATGGGCGTAAAAAAATCCGAACCACGGCGGTATAGCGTGTGCTGTTCACAGTTACAGAACGTCCTGCACCATCTTCAAAAAAGTACGGTCCAATTATGCCCGAGGCGGACATAACACACCATACCGTCACTTTTTTGGAATGTAACGGTCGTTGATGTTTTTGCCGCGGATTGTTAGTGGCCCAATATCGGCAATTATGTTTGTTCACGGCTCCAGTTAGATGGAAATGTGCTTCATCAGTAAAAATAATGTGCTCAAGCCCATCCTCATTCCAAAACATGTTAATCATGGTCTCGGCGAACGTTTTCCGTTTTACATGGCCTTCGGCCTTCAAAAATTGGCATAGTTGGATTTTATACGGGTGAAACTTTAAGTCTAACTGGATTATTTCGTGCACACTAGTGCGTGGCAACTGCAATTGTTGAGCATGTTTACGAACCGACCGCCGAGGATGCTGTGTCACAGCGCGCCGTACTCGGTCGATATTCTGTAGAGTTCGCGTGGTTTTCGGTTTACCAGTTGCCTTTTTATTCACAGCAGATGATGTTGTTCTGAATCGTCTAAGGGTCGATTCCACCGTTGTGTTAAACGGAGATTAAAATGACATTGTTAATGTAAAAATGTCATTTTAAACTTCGTTTAACACAACGGTGGAATCGGTCCTAACCCAGCCATACTTAACCTGCGGCCCTCCAAGCTTTTTTTGTGGCCCGCACCACTATTATTGGTCGCAGCGCTAAATAGCATACTCCATGTTAATACATTAGCAATAAGGGCAAACAAGATGGAGTGGCATTTATACCAAAACATAATCATAACATTGTGTTCAATTGATAAGTGTGTCTACCAAAACCACATAATAGGCTTATAACTTATTTTTGTTAAATATATTTAGTCCGATTCTGCCAAAACAAGATAAAGGCCAGAACCGAGGGGAAACCAATAAGGTCAAAACGTACCTGTATTTCGGAAATCACATAAAAAATGTTTATGTAATTTAGGTGATTTCACTGAAAATCCACCTCAATTTTATACGATGATCTTTTTTTTCTCGCCATTTCCAGTTGTGAGCGACGAATTGATTTCGACCATGATTTTAGATGATGATTTTGCAATTTTCGAGAAAATGTGTAGTGATTTCGAGTGAAAACGTACCAGTATTTCGGAAGTGGTTTGCCGCTACTTATTTTTGTTGAATGTGTTTGTTGAAATATTACAACATTGTACCCACGCCATTTGTTTTGTTATGACTAGAGCCGTCTCTGGCCTTTCTCCATTGTTCCGAAATCCACGAGATGATTAAGTCAACCTTTCTTTGAGGGATACAGCTAACCTTAAACAACCACTAGATAATAACACGTGATGTTCGAATCTCCGTGGTGGATGAGTCATTGGTCAAGATGGAACGGGTGATTGGTCAAGCTGTAACGAGTGATTCGTTAAGTCGTAACGAGCGAATCTTTATGTGAAAATTCGTAAATAAAAGTCGAATTTGAATTTTAACCATATTTTCAGCGTATCGAAAGATTCAGCTATCCTAAATACATTCCACCAGAAAAATAGATTTAATTTATCAATGGGCGAGGGTGGAATTCGGCTTTATATGCCAAACTCGCACAGTATTTATTTAGAGCAATGCATGAAAGGATGAAACAGAGTTTTGAAAATACTTACAAAAAAGTGCAAGAAGAAAGATTTATTAAAATTTTGCAAAATCAGATAAACCTGAATGAATTTCAACATCACCTGTATCCAATAATGTTACTAAAACTTCGACTGAAGATAGTGACACATACATTGAATTATGATTTTGTATGTAGAGCTAAAAGAAGCTAGGTGACTTTTTTCTCTCTTTTTTTACCAATTATTGATAGCTTATTAGTTTATACTTTGTGAACAATATTTTCAATACCTTCTTCATTGAAATTAATAAACCATTTGAAGCTTTTGCTGATTTTTTATTCAGTTTTAAACGTTTTATCGAAACTCTAAAAATGTGAGTTATCTTGTTTTTGCAGTAACACAACGGGATATATTTATGTTTTGTGTTTTATTTATTAGATATGCCCACTAACTAATTTTAGATAGATAGCCTAAAAAAAAGGTCATCATCCAAAAATATTGCGGCCCGTGTAACATAGCACATATACGAATGTGGCCCGAAGGAAAAAAAGGTTGAGTATGGCTAGTCTAACCTAACTGTGCACTAAAGCTGCAGACGGTACATCGGCTATATGTCGAATATCAGAACGTGTACAGAAACGTCGACGCGCAACAACGTACGAATCGTTTGATTTAAAAAAATGATTCAATCATGAACGCTCGTTGTTCTGCAGGCCACGGTGCCATCGTAACTAAAATCCGCATGGTTTCGCTACTTGTCTACAATCCCCCATCCTCCTACTTAGTGCAGGTCCGGTGTCAGAATGATTCGAAATATTAAATTCATTACCGGGCACCCTGCCTTACCTAACCTAATGTAGTTTATAAGTTAATAAACGAAAAGAGATTTTTTTACATACGCGTAAAAATATAAGTTTTCTGATCAAAAGGACCGCATAATAGAATTAATGTATTAAATTTAATTATTTTTTTTTTAAGGGGGAAGACAGAATCTTGTAGAACACCCAATGTATTTAACCACAAGCCACCACGATCCAATTTATTAAACTAATGGTCTATTGGCTCTTTTAGTTACATATACACCTACCTATTTTATTTACGTTAGGTTTGTTCCAACAAAAAGGCCCCGATTAGTTACCATTAAATTTCTGACTTCCCTTTCGCTACGCAGTTTATAATTGAATGGTGTAATAAAAAAAAGAGATCAAAAGTTAATCTAATGCGAGCCGTTTCCGACCAATCCGGTCATGTTCTAATCCCTCTCTGCCTTGTTTGGCTTTTAAGGCCCAACTTTGTCCGATAGTCAAAAATATTTAAAGAAATAAGTCAACCCCCGGTGCTACTTATATGGCTAGTCGTAGTGAATCATTATTCTAGAACGATGACAAATTTGGTAAATGCATATTCGAAAAATTTCCGGAGACATCAGTCTAATAAATGGTGGGTGCGAAAATAATATGAATCATACATCAATTTATAATATAAATGGATAGTGTTGTAGAGGATGTCAGTCAGTCGAAGCCGAGACACAGTTGAAGTCAAGACACAGTTGAAGATGGACATTCGATTCTTATATAAATTAGAACTTAAGTGTGATATATAAATAGTGCTAAGATAAATATTTAAGTATAAATAAACTGTTTTTAAAATAAACAATTATCAGATCTATTTTGAACTTTATGATATAAATCGAATAGTACTACTTACTTTTTATCACAGCATTCACAGGCATGCGGTTTCTCTCCAGTGTGAGTCCTCATATGCCCAGATAACAAACCAGAACTGGTAAATCCTTTATTGCATACATTACAAATGTGAGGTTTCTCACCGGTATGCGATCTGGTGTGTATATTGAGTGTTTCTTGGCGACTGAACGATTTATTACAAACTTGACACGTATACGGTTTTTCACCTGTGTGAGTGTGTTGATGGATATTTAGAGTACTGGAAGCTGCAAAGGCTTTGCCACATGTGCCGCATACATATGGACGAGCACCTGTATGTGTGCGCATGTGGATACCTACATAACCTGATTGAGTGAATCTAAAACAAAAATTATTATTTAATCTTCATAACTATGGAATAACTAATCCGGCTATATCACACCTTTTATTGCAAATAGGACACTGGTATGGCTTCTCACCGGTATGTACACGAAGATGCTTTTCTAAGTTGCAAATCTGAGTAAAGCCTTTATCACAAACTTCACAAACATAAGGTCGTTCGCCAGTGTGCGAGCTAACGTGAATCCTCAAGCTTCTTGCCTAAAATAGAACATATGCTATTAAAATTTGGCTTTAAACACCTATATTTAAAAAGAGTGTCATCTGTCACCGGATAATAATACACCTATTACATTACCCATTATAATATTAAGTGTTTGAGAAATGTGTGTCATCTAATATTATCTATTATGAAAAAAATTAAACATCAACATGATTTTCTTCCAGACAGATCAACAGAGAATGCATCTACTGATTTCTTCAAATTTATACATCAACAACTGGATAAAGGACAGTACGTAGGAGCACTCTGATTTTTCTAAAGTTTTCGACACAATTGACATATCCAATGTTTAAAATAAATTACAGGTTTGTTCTGGTTCTCAAAATGGAAACAACTTTGAACCTGTTTCGGACATTGTGAGTAAAGGTAAAAAATCTCTAGTTATAATGGACATGACTCGTCCTCTCTGTCTCTGTCGGTCATGGCCTAATTTAGAAACGTTTTTTGTGATTAACTATTAAAAATATTTAATCATAGATTTTAAATTATGTTTTGTCTACTACATGTATTTTGACATATTCTACATCATTGGATAGTGATCAAAAAGGACGATCTGTAAGGTGGGGAGGGTGGGTTGCTCCTTATGAGGCCATTGTGCATCCTCAAGGGGCATATAGTACCTTAGTACCTACCACTCGTCTTGTCAAAAACCTACTGTTTATCGCTGAGAGGTATCTATAGACAACCATCTTCCCACCTTATCAAAGTTCTGCAGGTTATCAACTCTGCTGGATGTCGTTGGGGAGTATCAAAAGACAGCCATCTTCTCATCACATCAAAGTCCTTAAGGTTATAATAACATCGCCAAGAGGTGTATGATAAATGGGAAGGAGTAGGCCATCCAAATGTTGGCACAATGGGCCATCTTGGCCTCAGTGCCGTAATGCGAACCCATAGATAAATTTTTATGTTGAAAGTATTCTAGTTGCTTGTTGGAGGTAATATATAAACAACCACTCAGCGCGCGTCACCTCATTACTTTTCGACAACTGATAAAGTTTGCATCGCATATTCATGTACGATCGAGAGTGCGGCGCGGAAAATATTCAAGCAAAAACATGTCTGGTTAAAAAAAAAGCAGAAAGTAGGCACAGAATGTCGTCAATTCCAAGAAAAATTACGGATGAATACTTTTTTAAAAGAATACAATATGAAACGGCATTACTCCAGCAATCATTTTGCTCAATATAATTCACTCAAGGATAAAATTAAAAAACTTATTACCGATTTAGAGAAACATCAACAAATGTTCCATTCACAAAGATCAAATCGACGTGTCCGAGCGATTTTCCAAACATGCCCCCATTTATTAAATGTACTACCGAATTTTTCCATTTGGCTGTTCCACAGTGTATGAGCATAATCATTATGCTATTATAATTAATAAATAAAAAAATGAGTAAATTTTTGTCGCTTTTTTATTCACTACCTACTAGGGATGGCAACGATATATCGATGTTTTCACAAATATATCTATATACATATTTTAAACGATATTTTACTACCGATATATCGAAAAAATATTGATATAATCTTTTCGATATATCGAAAACATTATTCATACAGCGTGCGCATGCGACGTTGATTGACGTTGGTAGCTAACACGTGAGGGCGTGCACTTGGCTCTTTGTTTTATTTTTAATGTTTGGTTTGATGTATGAATTTGAATATTTTTAGTTTTATTTTCGATGTCCAGAGTGGTTAATAAAAATATTGTTCTGCAGTAACAACTTCTGTTCCAAGTGAAGACTATTTTTGAATGCTGGTTTGACAGCAACAAAAAGCCAAAACCATTTATCTTGCAAGAGATTGTCAAATTTATTATTTTTGAGTTCTCTTCTCAAAAAGCTTTCAAATAATGTAACAAAAGGTTTGTTCTGGTTCTCAAAATAAAAACGGTTTTGAAACTGCACCGGACCGTGTGCGTAAAGGCAAAAAATCCCCGACTGTTTGAAATTGTTGGAAAACTAGACCACAAAGTTTTTTTTTTTTTAATTTGGTGTCATCGGCATCGACTGCTAAGGTCATTAGCCTCGTGTTCTGTGTAGGCTTTGTTACTGTTCCCCAGCGCCACTTTGTAAACAGCACATATTAGAACCCAACAGTGAATGGTCGAGTGGAAAATCCTTCCTATGTATTACTTAATATGTAATACATTAAATTAAAGAAAAACCTGAGAACCTTCGATTTCAAAGCCCCTGAGCCAACCCATCCCCTTGTTATTAAATGTAAGCAATTGGAAGTACTGTCAGTGGAGGAAGTTTCCCAGCGCCACTTTAGGAACAGCACCGTTAATTAGAACCCAACAGTGAATGGTCGAGTGGGAAAGGTGTTTTGTTTATTGTTTATTATAATAATGCAGTTCCTTTTAAAAGCTCAGCTTCAAATAACATTTGCATGTATATGTTCATCATTATCATCCTCATCACATATTAATGGAATAAAAAAAAACGGGAGAATAATATTAAAAAATTAATAATTTTAAAAATGCCTCAATTTACAACTAAAACAAGAACAAGAGACATTCATCGACACATAAATAAATAATTTGCGATTGTATGGTCTTAAATGATAATACAATATTCTTAACACTTCAAAAACGCATGCGCGGTCAAAACAGTCTAGAGTCGATACACACTCCGAAGCATGAACACATTTTGACTGTTTACAACAATCACAGTGGAGGTCGAGAACTATCGATAGTCGACACTATCGATAATTGAGGCTATGAAAAGCTAAGTGGACTCACCCCAATTTGGACTAAGTGCGGTTAGACCACTTTACTTTTGAATGAATATGTTAATTTGCTCAGAAGCAAAACAACAATAGCACTGCCATCTAGCGATCTATTGTAAAAGGTGGCTTAGTCCGCTTTGCTCTTGATAGATATGGGTATCCAGATTCAAATAGTATCAAAAGATAAATTACAATTTTGTGGGTTAGTCCACTTAGCTTTTCATAGCCTCAATTATTCGATAGTTGAGGCGTAAACTATCGATAATTTCCGATAGTTTTTTTCGGTATGAAATAATTCAAATTTTAAGCAAAAAACAAACTTGGTTTACAAAACGTTTATACTAAACACAACAATAATATTGATACTGTTACGCAGGTTTTTGGTATATCAATTTATTTCAACTCAACTTTTACAATAACGATACAACTGATAACATTAACATGTAACGTCTATCATCAAACTGAGAACTGACGTGAGGATCATTGACTTATATAGCTTGACCCTTCTCGAACGTTCGCGAACTGTGGTCTAGACCACATAATTTGATTTTCTTTTACTATACGGAGAATGGTCGCACTACGCAGCTTTATTGCTAAAGAATCAGTTAGCTCACTCGGACCAGTTGAAAGTTCCAAAATAACATCCACTCCAGGGATACAAATTCAGGATGCGCAGAAGACTGCTGTTTTATTATAGGCGGTTGTCATATACAGTATTATCCGAGTTGCGCAGTGTATAAACTGGAACAATGAGTTCAAAAGTGCCGACGCAGAGTGAGCGAACTGATTCTTTAGCTATAAACTGTGGCAAAGACATCGAAATGTTGGGCGTGTCGGACCTCTCTCTTGCACCGTATAGTAATCAAAGTATGTGTCTAGACCCACATACTTTGATTACTATACGGGGCAAGAGAGAGGTCCGACACGCCCAACATAGGGCGCGGCCATTTTGATTCCTATGCCACAGTTTATAGCTAAAGAATCAGATCGCTCACTCTGCGTCGGCACTTTTGATCTCAATGTTCCAGTTTATACACTGCGCAACTCGGATAATACAATATATGACAACCACCTATAATAAAACAGCAGTCTTCTGCGCATCCTGAATTTGTATCCCTGAAGTGGATGTTATTTTGGAACTTTCAACTGGTCCGAGTGAGCTAACTGATTCTTTAGCAATAAACTGTGACTCCAAAAATAATATTCACTGACACTCACAGCAGCAAGCAAAATATTAAAAATATTGCGCCAAGATGTAGGCAACACATAATAAGGCATCAAAATGGCGGAGTTTTCTATCTCATTTTAAAAGGCACTCAGAAAGCTGCGCAGTGCGACCATTCTCCGTATAGTAAGAAAAAATCAAAGTATGTAGGTCTAGACACATACTTTGATTTTCTTTTACTATACGGAGAATGGTCGCACTGCGCAGCTTTCTAAGTGCCTTTTAAAAGGAGATACAAAACTCCGCCATTTTGATCCCTTATTATGTGTTGCCTACATCTTGGCGCAATATTTTTAATAGGTGCGTTTTAATCATCCGCTTCTGCTTCGGAATTGTCGGTTTTCTTGTTTTAATCTGACAGGTTAAAACGACTAAACCGACAATTCCGGAAGCAGAAGCGGATGATTAAAAAGCACCTGATATTTTTCTTGCTGCTGTCAGTGTCAGTGAATATTATTTCTGAAGTCACAGTTTATTGCTAAAGAATCAGTTAGCTCACTCGGACCAGTTGAAAGTTCCAAAATAACATCCACTCCAGGGATACAAATTCAGGATACGCAGAAAACTGCTGTTTTATTATAGGCGGTTGTCATATATTGTATTATCCGAGTTGCGCAGTGTATAAACTGGAACATTGAGATCAAAAGTGCCGACGCAGAGTGAGTGATCTGATTTTTTAGCTATAAACTGTGTCATAGGAATCAAAATGGCCGCGCCCTATGTTGGGCGTGTCGGACCTCTCTCTTGCCCCGTATAGTAATCAAAGTATGTGACTGCGCATGAGCCCGACAGTTGTGGATCGTTATTTCTCAAAACCAGAACAGACCTATAAACACTTTTAAGTACATATTTAAGTTTGAGTAAGTTTGGTTCATCTCTATATTAAAAAAAATGTATTGTGTGTTTTGTTACTTATCTGAATAAACAAATCGCATTTAAACTGTTAAAAAATGAATTTTTGTACATTTCATTAAAAATATATCCATATATTTAAAATAATGATATTTTTTATTCGATGTATCGAATGTATCGATATATTATTTCGATATATCATATGATTCGATATATTTTTTTTATTTATTTAACGAGCTCAGCTAAGCAAAGGTTGCCCATACCTGTTTTAGATAATATTTTAAAGGAATTTTTGAACTACATACTTTTATTTAGTACATAAGCTAGCTGAAATAAAACTAAATTTACTTACTTCCACATATTGCTTCCCACAATATTCACAAGACAACAACTTATGTCCGGTGTGGTATTTCATATGTTTGGACAAACTGGAAGCCCATTTGAAAGCTCTGCCGCAAACCGAGCAAAGATGCGGTTTCCCTTTAATATTCCTCAATTCTCCAGTATGTTTTTTCTTATGTTTGCTTAGATTAGAACTTTCGGCGAATGCCATGTCACACTGATCGCACTGGTGGGGTTTCTGTTCTAAGTGAATTTTAAGATGTCGCTTCAAAATTCGCGGCTCAGTGAAGGCTTTGTCGCAAACGTGACATTCATAGTTGAGCTCTTTCGGATGGGACATCATATGGACCTTTAATAAATAAAATAATTTTAATTTGGAGCGCTTAAATTACGAAAAAAATAAGTTATATATAAAATGTATGTATGTAATAGAAGACTTACTTTAAGGTCAACTTTCAGAGCAAAAGAGATGTCGCATTTGGTACAAGCATATTTTAATTTATTGTCAGAATCAGATTTATTTTCCAATTGTATAACAATCCCATCACCAAGGTCTTCGGTTAAGGAGTTATCAGTTAAAGAATTAGATTGTTCTACACTAGCTGTTTCGATGGTATAAAGACCTTCTTTAACCTAAAAAGTATTAACTGTAGTTGGATTCGCAAACTTTGATGTAAATTAAACAAAACCATATATCACACAAAATACAAGCGACTGTTTCCATTCGGAAAACAACTATACTCCTTTGGCTAAGACCGCAACAGGTATTGAATTATATCAAAAGAAAAGACAGCAGAGATAGAAATTTAATTTCAACACTCTACCTTTGATTTTTCTTGCTGTTGAGTCCTAATATGGACGAAACCGGAAGTGGTTTTCCGAAGGGAAACGTTCACTCGTATTTGGTGTTAAATATGGCTTTGTTTCATATTTTTTTATTTTACTGATATTTTTGATATGGGCAGATAAACAGTTTTTTAAAAAATGATGTTCCATCATATCTGCGTGATTTTATATTTTATAACAATTTAAATATTTTCTGAAATACTTTAGTAGGGGTACTAACATCTAATGGATCGTCAGAATATGTTACAAACTCTGGAATATCTTGTTCAATGGTAATAACAGTTCCTATGTGTTCAGAAAATTGTAACTGCTCTTGTAACTCTTGCTTAGCTTGTTCCCTTTGCTTTTCAGCAATAGATTCAGCCAGTTGATGCTGAAATAATAAAATGTTTTTTAAATGGGTAGTCTTTTTAAAAAAAATAACTTTTTTACCTGAAACTCTGGAGAAAGATATTGGCGTAAAATATTGTCCGATTTTTCACATTGTTGCTTAAAAGTATATGCTCTACTGCATTGTAAAACGCATTGCACGCACATGAGGTGAGGGTAACCATCATTTTCAGATACCTATAAAAAAATTATAGAATTTGTTTTTTAATGTAATATCAATTTGGACGTTTTCAATATTATATCAGGTTTGCAACTTTTTTGAAAGCCCGCAACATGATTATTTTTTGTAAAATAAAGTTTTTTTTCTACACCCAGATGGATATTAGCTTATCTACGCACAGATTACAAAACGAAAAAGTAAGCTATTGCCTTCAACTAAACGAATATATTTCATATCCATTCTAGATAGTGAGAATACTGCAAAAAAATTAAATCCACCAATCACCGTTCATATTTTGATAACCGACTGGTATTATTTTTAAAATTTTAAATAAGCAACAATTTTGTCAAACTAATTGTCAGTATATTTTTTAGCTATTGAGATTAAACATATATTAAAATGGGTTATTCTTGTGTAGAATCGATAAATAATAGCATTGTTGTTTTTATTTCGTCTATAATTATAAATAATTTGTTAATTTAAATAAAACTATATGAAGTCAATTTAATTCTGTGGTTAGCGTTCTTGCCTTCCACACTGAAGACTCGAGTTCGATTCTCGGATGGGGAAAAATAAAATTAACTTTTTCTTTTTTTTTCGTTTATTTTATTTTAAAAATTAATAAAAGTCATAAATTATTTTAAAATTAGTTATTTTGTCTTAATAACCTGAATAATTTTTTTTTATTTTCATTAGTGGGCCGTAGAAAAAATATTCTGTACAACTCGAGTGGATTGTCCACATCGCACTTAGACGATTGAGCACTGCGTCTACGGCGTCGTGCTCAAATTTCGGCGTCGTGCTCAAATTTCGTCTTCGTGCGATATGGCCATCAATTTACTCTTGTTGCACAAACTACTATTGTTTATCTCATAGTTGAAACAATTGCAAAAATGCTGCAAACCGATGACATAACTCATACCCATTTTTCCAATTTGCAATCTGCTATTTTGCACGCAAATAAATATTTTTTTTAACGGCAAAACAATTGTTTATTTGAATCTAATTTTAAAAAAAATGCAAAAGTTTTGAAAATTGGTTGCAAATGTTAGTATTATTTTTAATAACCTGGTAAATTTGCAACTTCGGACAATTCGCACTTTAAAATTAGAAAAGTTTGGCCAAATTCTACAGAGCCGTTTATATGCATTTATATGCAAATTTGCAACGTTCCAAGTTTAACGAAAATGATTGTAAATTATCTGTGACCAATTTTGCCCTGCGAAATGAATGCATGTCTTGCAAATCTAGAACAACAAATAAAAAATTCTTTGCAAACATTTTCTGTCGTCCGATTTTGCTACTACAGATATTGGGATATCCCTACACTTACACCAAAAGTAGTAAAACCAGACAACAAAAAATGCTTGCAAAGGATTGTTTTATTGTTATAGACGCCTAGAAGTATATTATTTCAATGTCAGTAAAAAATTAAAAAATCCATCAATAAGCAAGCTTACTTTGAATTTGACAAGTTACACGCTAGCTCCCACCACCGGGACATAGTACATGTTGTTCACCTCCCTCGCCTGAACCCAAATATAAATACCAAGCAAAAAATACGCCGTGCCACTTTTTGCATTCAGATGAGGGACTAATATTCAATTTCAAGAACCAATTAATTTGTTTCTGACAATCCTGGACCATCCTGTTGCACAAAACCAAAGCGCTCATAACTCAAATCATGTTTTGTTTTTGTAACTTTATTGTATTAAAACAGTAATTTCATAGTACCTTAATGTGAATATTATTTCGTTTGAGAAACTTAAATATGTCGACTTTTATTATTTTTCAATTTTGTGAACATCAAAAAATATTTCGATTTTGTCTGAAGTAAGACTGACCATCTTACAATACCGAATAATGAATTTCTTCGGTAACAAATATCGTTCTCCATTTCCCTGTTTTATCAATAAATATTTTGTATATAATACAATCATTATTGTTCGCGTTAGCCATATAGAGAAAAACGCATCGCTTCGAGAAACTATCGGAGTGATTCTTTTGCGGCGTATGAGTCTCGATCGTTGTGGAAAACCGAGAGTATTCTAGTACAGAGCTGGCTTTATATAAATAGAGCGAGTTTGTAGGCGGACGGAAAAAGTTTCAAATGAAGTGTTGGACAGAAAAGATAAATTGTAATAAATAAATTAAAATTTATATATAAATTAATTAGTACGTTATAAATAAATTGTAAATAGTGTTTTAAATAAATAAACTATAAATAAATTAATCTATCGTTACATTATTTTAAAAAGTTAAACTTTCTTATCAAACAACATTCTTGTGGGTCATTTAATAATATTCTGTTATTTACTCGGCCTTATAAATGAAACATAAAAAAAGACCAATGAAAAAATAAAACTGTACCTACAAGACACCTGCAGTTCATTATTTTTTAGAACACGTTATTAGCCTTCTCCGTTCCATTATTTTTTTGTGTCATCGGCTTCAACTGCTAAGGTTATCTCGCCTCGTGTTTAGTGTAGGCTTTGTTACTGTTTCCAAGCGCCACTTTAGGAACAGCACGTAGAACCGAACAGTGAATGGTCGAGTGGGAAATCCTACCAAGGCACATACTTTGATTACTATACGGTACAAGAGAGAGGTCCGACACGCCCAACATAGGGCGCGGCCATTTTGATTCCTATGCCACAGTTTATAGCTAAAGAATCAGATCGCTCACTCTGCGTCGACACTTTTGATCTCAATGTTCCAGTTTATACACTGCGCAACTCGGATAATACAATATATGATAACCGCCTATAATAAAACAGCAGTCTTCTGCGTATCCTGAATTTGTATCCCTGAAGTGGATGTTAACTGATTCTTTAGCAATAAACTGTGACTCCTAAAATAATATTCACTGACACTGACGCAGCAAGCAAAATATCAGGTGCGTTTTAATCATCCGCTTCTGCTTCCGGAATTGTCGGTTTAGTCATTTTAACCTGTCAGATTAAAACAAGAAAACCGACAATTCCGAAGCAGAAGCGGATGATTAAAACGCACCTATTAAAAATAATGCGCCAAGATGTAGGCAACACGTAATAAGGGATCAAAATTGCGGAGTTTCCTAACTCCTTTTAAAAGGCACTCAGAAAGCTGCGCAGTGCGACCATTCTTCGTATAGTAAAAGAAAATCAAAGTACGTGTACCAAGGCAACAGAATTAATTTTAAATAATTAAATTAAATTAAAAAATCCCGGCCAACGGTGGGATTCGAACCTGGGACCCTTGGATCCGCAGACAGAGACTGTACCACTGAGCCACCCACCCCCTCCCGTTTCATTATTATTTACAGAAATATTTCCATAATTTATTTTTACAAAATTAAAAATCTAAAAAATAACAAACCGTATGCAATCACCAGTGGCGTAATAACAATAGTGCCAGTGGTGCGGTGGCACCAGAGCTCGCGCGCCTTTAGGAGCCCGGCGCGGCAGAAATGAACTGTCGGGTGTTGATACTTTATTCGAAATATGGTAAATCCTAGACGCTTATCGTTTTGTACCTATGATGAAATATCCAATCACTATGTTATTAAGAATAGATTAAAACCGTTAGATATTGCCATAAATCAAATCTAAAGTAGATTCCCTAATCTTAGAGAAATATGTGGCTGTTTTAGATGTTTATATCCGAAAGTGTTTTTAGTAAATACCAGTGATGATGCTCTATGTAAAATGGGACAGATTCTTCACTCAAAATGTAATCACGATAATATTTCAAAAGAATTTTTAAACTTACTTACATTTTGGCAAAGTTTAAAAACATTTAGAAAAGTTACATACAATAAAAGCATTCTCTTTTTAACCATCCCTCTAACTGTTGCCACCGCTGAAAGACGTTTTTTAAAATGTCCACTGCAAAGGCTAGAAAAAACGTGATTATTTAATTTGAAGTTTTGTTGTTTAATAATTAATATTATTGTAACGATTGTTTAATAATTTAAAAATAGTTTATTTATTTAAAACAGTTTATTTATAACGTACTAATTAATTTATTTAATACTTAAGCACTATTATAACTCACACTTCTAATTTATTTTACAATTTATCTTTATTCGACAACATTTATATTGAAATGGCTTCTATCGACAGAGTCTATTTATATAAAAATGTAACCGCCTAGAAAGAACCAATCCTGCTAGAAGAATCTCGAAATCTTCCTTTGCGCGTCGGACCGCAATGTTTCGATCTTGAGTCGGGTCTTGATAGTCAACGCCAGCCTCTACGTCGAGGTAAAGACCGAAGAACAGTCTGCTTCACGATATTGCCCTCTTCTTAAGAAACAGTTGGACCCTCTTTTACAATTTTAAAGTGTAATTTTATGTTTTTCAGACCACGCTGTTCATCCATAAAAATATTTGGTCCATCTACGTGCATCAGTAGGACAAATATTAAAAATCAGAAAAAGAATGTACAACGAACTAAGTTAATTTTCTAAAAGTTTATTACCAACCATCTGCACTGCATTGAGTAAGAATCTACCGACGAGTTAGTTAAGACGCAGATTGTTTAAGAGTACATTCAACACGATGACGAAAGCGGATATACAAATTTTTCTAATGGACAATGATTTGTATTTTCAAAACAGTTATAAGAAAGAAGAACTTTTTAAAGTTTTACGGACGAAACAATTTAAAAAAGTATACGCCATAGATAGTATTGCTGAATACCATGGACATACTGTATTGAGATTTTTGGCTTATTTTTGTATATTTAATAGGATATAAAACCACATACTTTAGTGGCGTTTACCTTATCGTTCATCAATAAAATTAAAATTTCTTCATTTTGCAGTATTTTTTTTTTTAATTTGGTGTCTTCGGCGTCGACTACTACGGCCATTAGCCTCGTGTTCTGTGTAGGCTTTGTTACTGTTTCCCAGCGCCACTTTAGGAACAGCACTGTTAATTAGAACCCAACAGTGAATGGTCGAGTGGGTAATCCTACCAAGGCATCATAATTAATTTTAAATAATGAAATTAAATGAAAAAATCCCGGCCAACGGTGGGATTCGATCCTGAGACCTTCCGATCTCAAAGTCATGACTCTAACCACTGAGCCAACCCACCCCCTTTTGCAGTATTGACGATTAATTTTAATTATTTTATTCTAAAACCAACCGGCTGACGAGAAAAATACAAGATGCCGTATTGATGTAGAATTCACCAGTCTAATGAGAAAATAAAAAAACATGGAAAAATGTCAGTGGCGTACTTTTTTTGTAGAAAATATCAAATGACATGTTTGCAGAGACGCCATTGGTAGATCAATAAAATAAATTTACTAATTAAAATATGCCAAACATGCCAAAATTGAAAATTATATCTAATCTATTTTCAGAGATATTAAAAAATATCTCTTTAAAAAACAAATTTTCAATTCCCTGTAGCAAAAAATTGAAGCCGCTGCTGACATATGTTCATATGAACTTTTCTTCATAAAATGACCTGCAGAATCACATCCTACAATATTAGCACATTATTAAAAAACACCCTGCATAAATTGTAATAAACAAGGAAGCCATTTTGAATTTTTAAAAAGTAATTCATGATTTGTTATCTTTGATCAGATAACAATTTTATCAGAAACCAATTTTAGTCGAAATCTGCTGACTTTTAAAAATAAATGTTTTTATTTTATGCCGGTTTTGAGCTATCGCGCCAACAGACAGACGGCAGACAACAGACGGCGGACAGACCGACGGAATAGGGAAAACATGTTTTTCGTAATTTAGGGACCCGAAAACGTGAAAATCTAAACTTTTACGATTACAATACTTCCCTTTTTTGAGAGAAGTAAAAATAAAATAAGTATACTCAATCTTTTGAATGCTCCTCTACTAATTTAAAGGTGATGTATCAGTCTCCTTCGTTTTTTTTTGTATGTTGCCGGCTGGCTTTAAAGCTTTAAAGTCACACTATATCTCTTGCTCGTACTATAACTTAGCGGGTCTGTAATAGTAAAATTAGCGGTACGTTAGCGTGCCCCGAGTCACGGGGTATTTAAAAATGTATTTTCCGTTTTGTTACATATTAGCTTTGTCCCAACATCTCACAAAACCGTAATATTACGGTCATCGTCATGCGCAGTAAATAAAAACCTATCAATAAAGCCCAAAGTCGAACGGTTTTTATTTACTGCGCATGACGATGACCGTAATATTACCGTTTTGTGAGATGTTGGGACAAAGCTATTATAAACCCCATTTTCAAGATCAGAATTTCCGGTAATTGTATGAAATTTTTAAATAAATAATTATGGATATCATTTTAGTCTCGGAATTAGTTTTGTACAAGTATTTAGGCTCCACCTTCAGTTATCACTTTTATATTTCCGCATTTATATTCCGCAAATAATATTTCTTTTAGTTTCTATGTATAAGTATTTTTAAAGATAAAATTAAAGAGCCATGATTTTCTCCCCAAAGCGGTAAACAGGAAATTATTTAAATATTTGCATGGGAGGTGTAAAGCCTTGGTTTCTTTGAACACTTCGTCGCGGTGAGCGGACAGTCCGTCAACCGTCGCGTTTTGACGATTTTATCCAACCAGAGTATTTAAATGGGAATGGTTTTCTTGAATCCGCTTAGTTGAACAGGACGGCGTCATGCCGCTGATTTGTCGCGAAGAGTCGGTTGATATCTGTTGAGTTTGATATCAGCGGAATCGTCGACGTGTGCGGAGACTATATTGTTATTAATTTTAAAACAATGAGTGACAAATTCACACATACAGATGACATCATGACTTTATTTTTAGGTTTCTTGGAAATTATGTCCTTTATAAAACTCAACACGAATTCAAAAAGATCTGTAGAAAGTCTAAAATACTCCCTAAATTTGGTTTCATTTCCAAAAAGCCTCCGCTGCACAGTGATATTAAAGGCACCTTCTGTATCGCGACACAAAAACAACTCATTCACTGGCTTATTGGAAACTTTGACGGCTGCAATTGCCAGTTCCTCTTGTTCTTCCTCTTCCAACAATAATAACAATGCAAATAATTTATTTGCAACCATTTTAGTACCTTTCGTTTACATTCATAATACATAAACAGCACGTACAGACATAGAGAAAGTATCATTTTCTATATTTTTTAACAAACCACCTCGGGCGAAAATTGCTGTCCTCAGCGGTCGACGAACTGTCCGCTCACCGCGACGGAGTGTTCAAAGAAACCAAGGCTTAAGGTTGCAAATTCGATATTACTTGTGAATGTATTTTTTAGTTGTTACTCAGGTTTGTAGCACTTTTGGAATAATTTCGCAATGCAAAATTAGTCATAGACAATTAACAATCATTTGTATTAATTTTAGAAGATTGCAAATTTGAATTTACCCATACAGCACACGTTATTTTAGAAATATTTTAAACATTTCAAATATATAACATTTCAAGCACAAGTTTCTAAAATATTTCTCAAATATTTTAGTTAAATATTTAACTAAAAATGTTTCTGAAACATGGTATAAATGTTACACAATAGGTTACTAAACGGGTTAGTTGTAGAAGGCCAACACTTAATGAATAATTTCTGATTTGTAAGAAGAACTAAGAAGATGAGTTATGCATTTAATTTTTTCATCCTATGTCCAGCCAGGCAACCCTATAAAATAGAGGTTTGCGTTATCGGTTTTTGCCATTTGCTTTTTTTCTTATTTATGCGATGTGCTGTTGTTATATGGGAAGCGGAATATGTCTTTAGAAATTGAGGTGAGGTTTATTTACTTTATCTAATTCATTGAGACGAGCGACGCCTTTCGTTTATCAAATTTACAGGCAGTTTTGTTTTAGTCTTATTTTTATCTAAATATACCTAATCTATATACGTTATTTGACGTCCCTCCACCTAGTTTTATTTATTAGTTCTACAGCTCTGATTAAAAAGCGGAGCTTCATATTTTGTTTAGGTATGAGTACCTATTATTTGTTTTATTATAGTTAATTTAAAACAATATTAATAAATGTTAATCAAATAATTTGTATTAAATTCGTTTTTTAAGTACCTACCTATTTGTTTCAGATTAGTGCATTTAAAGGAATTAGTGGAAATGAAGCGGTTCGCCTTTATATTTTATGAAATAAATAAGTTTAAAAATTATTTATTTGTTTGTTTAAGAATCAATGTTTGTTTTGTGTATTTTAAATAAACATGTTTATTTTTAAATTTCTTTTTAGTCTAATAATATTTTAGAAACGTTTCTACGTTTCATAATATTTATGAATAAAAAAACTATATAATTACTATTTAATATTTCTAAGAGATTCCAAATTTTTATTTCAGAAATATTTACAGGACATTTTTTGGTGATAATTAGTTTCGGACGTCACATCACCTAAAAATGACGTGATTTTGTTTAAATTCTAGCAGTTATTTTATTTCCCCGTACAAGCGGTAGATTAGCCATATCCGTCTCCTGTCATTAGATAATTACTTGGATAATTAACTTTTAATTGCTAATAAACATGAATAAATATCTACTCTTGTATATTAAAAATAATAAATAACAAATTTTAAAAGTTAGTATTGAACAATTTACAAACTTTAAAATAATGTTCCCTGTATAAATACAAAGAATCAATCAATAACCATCTACAACTACTTTTATCTCTTTCCGTAGCATTTGCCTCAGTACCTACAGACCGAAATAAAAAAACATAAATGTGTTGCATAAGAGAATAATCACCTGAATGGAGGCGAACGAATTGAGCATTTCATCTAAACAGGCCCCGAATAAGGGCCTCATATCACCTTTTTCCGTCAAACAAGCCCTACAAATCTTATCAATCTGAAGGGGCGCCGTTAAATACATGCTCATATCCATTTTCAAAACATTAAATATAATAACAGAAATCACAGACGTTTTCACCGAAAATCGGACGTAAGTCTAATCGTTATCACAACACAGCACTGTCATAAATGAAAGATGGCAACCAAGCAACCCGAACAATTTCTCGAAATATGTTATTGACGCTTTGCATTGTGAGACACATGAAAGAAGGTTAACCGTAGTGCGCAACTTATTGGATGCGTTTGGAGGTAAATTTAAATGTTTTAGAACCTCAGTAGCACGAGGAAGGATTCAGTAGTTAAATAAAAGAACAAAATAACTAGAAATTAGGTACTTGATGAGTATTTATTATTTTTTGCCTCATAATTAAAAAAAACAAATGTTTTGTTTTATAAATAAGGAGTGATTGCGAATCTAAGGTTTTTGTTCTTTTTTTTTATTGTTGGTACCTGATAGGTAGGTACATTAATTTTAATAATTTTAAAATATGAGTAGATATCTAGGTAAATAATAGATTTAATTAGAAATTTTTTGATTTATTTTTAAATTAAGAAATATTTATTACAATATTAACAATAATTGAAAGGCACATACAAAAACTAAAAAAAAAAGATTAACTTGCTTAACTAAACTAATAATAAATTTAAATGTTTAGAAAAAAAGATACATTTCTGAAAGTTATTCTTACTATTACAATAAAATAGTTTAATCAGTCTTAAAAAATTAGAAAAGTTGACAAAAATATTACGATATAGGTATTTTTTTGGTAAATACTTTTACTTCTGTTCTCCTTCGTTCTTTTTCTCCACAGCTTTTACAGCTTCTCCAGTTTGTGTAATCGGAATGTTCTTGCTTTCTTGGATGGCTTCAGTTCTGGGAGCAGTAATTGAAAGAACGCCATCTGATGATAATTTAGACTCAATTTGGTTGGTATCGTAATGCTTAGGCAATGTGTACCTTCTAATAAAATGTCTGTAGACATGTCCATGTTCATCTTCCTTTTCTTCATGTTTTCCTTCAATAGTAACAGTATTTTCTCCCGTTAACTTTACAGTAATTTCCTCTGGTTTGAACTGTTGGACATCTAAGTTTGCTTGAAATTGATCTTTTCCATAAGTAACTGTGGATCCCGAATCTTGTTCAGAAGCTGAAGATCTCCAATTTCTGATATATCCAGCAGGGCATCGTAATAATGCTCTTGGAACATCAATTGGTTGCAAAAGATCATCTGTATCCAACACAGTCCCAAAATGTTGGTCAAAGATTCTTGATGGACGTGTATGATGATACGAGCGTCCCAATAAGGATTCACCCAACAAATATGGTAATATAGACATTCTTAACTTCAAATTTCAATAATCAAAACACTTCGCACTTCGCTTGGCACTCGATTTAAACTCTCAAACGTTTTAAAGCAAACTTGCCGGGTTCTGTTAAGAGGCGGCTTTATATAGCCGAGACCGCTGATAGGATGGATCGATACGTTCTCGAAACATCTGCCAATCGCAAAACGGAATTTTCCACATCATTATTTGGAACTTCTAGAATGAACACGATTCGCGGATTCAAGATTGTTTGGTTAGATGACAGTTTAGAACTTTGGTAGGTAGTGTCTACTGCTCCTAATCGCGTAAATTATAATTACTTTCTATGAAGATAAAAAAAATAAGCTTCCAAACTTGATGAAAGTTATAAAAAATGTAAGTACCTACCTTTTATTATTGATTTTATGTATTTTTTCTGATAATTTATTTAATTATATTCTTACATGACATATAGTGAATGGGCTGGTTGTCGACGACAACTTTATGTATTTTTTACTTAAAATTTATTTCTTACTTATTAATTTTCAATATTTTCCTTATTTGATATCATTTAAACAAAGTTTAAAGATTTATTATTTACCAGTATTTTTTATAAATTGATACAAAAAGTGTTTTAATAAATATTTAGGCTAAATATAGGTACCTACCTATATTCCCTTTTTACAACAAACCATATATCTATCAGTTCTAGTCAGCATAGTTTTGATGTATTATGTACGTAAATAATAAATTACTCTTGAGTTTAAAAATATTAACAAAATTCAAATTTTCATTAAAAAATTAAAACAGTTTTTTTGGTTTAAAAAATATTATTTACATAGATCGCAATTATTGGTAAGGTAAATAACACAATTCTGTGCATTTTAAGTGACAAACATCGCATCCTATTTTTTTTTTTTCGTCATTCTCATCTTATGGCCACTAAAGTTCCTCCTCACATAGGCCGCCGCACTTTTCCTTTAACAATCATTTATTAATTTCATCAACTTCTAAGGGTTGGTCTTTGATATTTCTGGTGTGCTTCTTTTTTTTTTTTCAATGTTTCGTTCAGTTTCATTCTTAATATTTTCTCTGTGCTCCTTTCTCAATTTTGCTTTTTTCTTTTTATTTTCTTCCCAGACAGCACACCAAATCCTTTGGATATCTACTGAACATCCCAATATCCACTGAATGTCCAGTCCATGAATGATATCCATTTTATATCCATGAGATGTAATTTATAGACATGCAAATGTCCATAAATAATAGTAATTATATAGCAAATTATTAAAAAATTACGCCATTGTGCCTAATAGTACCGTTCAGATATTTAAAATTATTTTTTTAAGGTGTATTCAATATCTCATGGACATCCACTAAATATATCAAAGTCTAGGCGCGAACGCAAACCATCGTGGATATCCACTAGATGTTATTTGATTTTGCTTACCAAGTATAGAGGGCGATACCACTTACGCATCTACTCATGCTCGACCCGCCGTAATTGAGTTCGATCGAAATTTTTGTCCTCCAGACTCCATTAGAGACTGGAGTCGAGAATTTCCATTTATTGCTGAAGAGTCCTAATAAGGATGACTTTCTCCTTAGTGGGCAAAATCAAAGGCAGAGTGTTGAAAATATTTTGAGTGTTGAAAATATTTTGAGTGTTGAAAATATTTTTTATCTCTGCTATTTTCTTTCGGCGTTATTCAATAATCATTGGTTACTTATGAACCTCTACTAAAGATACTCATAAAATATTTTGCTGAATATCCGAATATCTTCTATATTCTGGGATATAGACGGACATTTGGTTGGATATCCATATTGGATATATTGAATATCCACAAAATATATTCTGTGGATATCTCTGGGATTTCTTGTATTTTCTGGAAGATACCCATTAGATATTTTGCTGGATATCCATTAGGATATCTTCTATATTCTGGATATAGACGGACATATTTGGATATCCATATTAGATCCACGGAATATTATTGATATCCTGTGGATATATTGGATATCCACAAAAGATATTCTGTGGATATCTCTGGTATTTGGTGTGTTGTCTGGGTTCTTCTTTTGATGAATAATCTTTTTCCAAACCTCAGAAAAAATGGGGCTGGTGGTTTATTTTCGGATTTTTTGGAAGGTAGTGGAAATTTTAAATGACCTTCAAATGGATCGATGTTTTTTGGCAGTACATCATTAGATGGAGAAAAGTCTTCACAACTTTATATTCTCTTTCTCATTTTATTTTCTCATACGGTTTTCTGGTTACCATTTGGCGTTTCTTTTTTCATCAACCATCTGAAAAAATTAAATAAATCGGAACTCAGATTATGAAGAAGGCAAAAGGAATTTGCTCCAGATATTTAAATTACAGTTGTTTTATACTTTTTTACCTGTTTTACCTGTTTTCGGCCAATACATTTCATATTTTTCTATTTCTCGTATATTTTTAAAAAGTTGTTTTTGATTAATATTTAAATCATTGTGTTAAAATGAGAAACTTATATGCAAATTACTAATGTTAAAAAAGATAATTTTGGACCTTAGACAAAAACGGGTAGCATGTGTTTTCAAGCTTCTTTATCGGCCCCCATAATTTCTCTAGAATTTATTAAAATGTACTTTTTAAATAAATGATAACTAAATATTAATACTGATAATAATTTAGAAAAATAATTAGATTTATGAAACACGTTTACTATTTTACAATATATTAAGACAACTGACATTTTCGTTGTTCATCACGTTTTGGCACCATCTTTAAAATAAAACTATCACTTGTTGTGCCTGTCAAATGTAGTTGAAATTAAGCGGCAGATTTAAGAAAGACTGGCCGAACGTGGGTATATAATATTACAATTTAAATATAAAAGGTAAACTTATTAAACTAATTAAACTAAAAAATTGCTGACAATTGGTGGTGGCCATAGTTAACAGGCGCACTCACCCTCTGCCACGAAATCAGCTCTTTTAAATGGTACTATCAAATAAAGTGTATCTAAAAACTTTAACTCACATGGCCCCCTCCCTAGAGCCGTCCTTGCTATGCAAGTCAAATAGTAAACAGTTCAGTTTTGTTCAGGAAAATTCCGAACATTTGGGCCAAATAATAGGATATCCATAGTTTGTAGCCAAAGAGTGGGAAGGGCTGTATATAGAAATGTGATAGAAACCCACCGTTCAATGCCCGGAGTGCCTCGTCAGCAAAGTCAGCGCTTTGCACCTTGGCGACAATGAACCCGAGATTATAAATACCATGTCAACGTGGGAATCAACGTTCTTTTTATTTTAATCACTTACGATAAACATTGTTAATTAAAGATCCATTTTTGTATATTTTTTAAATAAATAAAGTTTGCTTTTTTTTGGAAACTTAAAGTGTTGTTAACTTAACTGGCGCTGCGAACAGGATTCTTCGTACAGAAAACTCACTTTTCCTGGTCAACTCAGTTGTTTAACGAAAAATCCACCGAACCTAGGACGAGAGGAAGAAGTAGCATGCAGAGGACATCTTCAGTGATCATCCTTTTGTGAGTACAATTTTCCTTTATCCTTTATGAGCACTTTAGATAATATTTCCGAAGAAAACTTACACGTTATATTAGCCGGTCTCAAATTAGAGACTACCGACATTTCTGATCAAGCGAATAGTTCTCAACTTTCTCAGAATCCCTCTGAAAATTTTCGAAACGTTCTTCGCCCCGAAATGCCTATGACTAATAGTGATATTTCTAGCCTTTGTGCTACTTTACCCGAATTTTCTACAGGAGATAACCTCTCCACAACCACAAGAATTTATTTTAAATGCTAATATTGCTTCTCGTATCAAGGGTTAACCTAGAGACTATTTAAATTTTACTAATAAAACAGTTTGGAATGAAATTCGACCTGCCCTTTTGGCAAAATACGGCGACAGACGTTCTGAAGACATTTTAGTGACACAGTTATCTACAACGGTACAAAAAACTAACGAGACATATGACGATTATCATCAAAGGGTGTGCGACAATTTAAATGATTTATTACAACACATATCACTAAATGACAACCCCGAAACATTAAATTTCAAAACACCTTATTTTAAAGGCATTGCTCTTAAAACTTTTTGTACAGGTATAAATGAACCATATTGTGAATATTTGTCGCATTTTAGAATTGAAAGTCTTGAAGAGGGCCTTCAAAAATGCATTACTTACGATAATCATAAGAGTCAACAACAATACATGAATTTCCTGAAAGGTCAACAAAATCCAAAACAAAGAATTAATCCCATTAAACAAACCTCGTACAAGCCTGTATACAATAAACCTAATTTTTCACACTCACAGGGTAATTTTCAACCAAATTTCACAAACTTTTCACAAAATAAACCTCCACATGCTTTTACTTATAGAAATAATCAAAATTTTAATAATTCGCCACAATTCGGCAACAATTCTGATTTCAGAAACAACACTCAAAATTTTAATAATTCATCTTCATTTCCGAATAATTCGTCTTTCCGAAATAACCCCCAAAATTTTAATAGATCATTTAGAAATTCCCAAAATCATCAAAGTTCTCCCACTCCCATGAGTGGCGTACAAACAATTACTACAAAAAATCAACCTATGAGTTTATCCACTAGAAGGACGCATAATTTTAATATAGATACTTCCAGAGATGAAAATTCCGAATCTATGCCCGGAAATTTTGAATTTAATGATACAGAAAATTATGATGACGGGACAGAAAATTTTCATCAGGAAAATTTTCAGGTCGGTTTTTCAGAAGGACAACCGCCGCCTCAATAGACCTAAATAATATTCATAATTATCCCCAGTTACCCTATTTTATTATGCCTAAAACAAGATTAAAAGTTCTTATTGATTCAGGAGGTTCAGACACTATCATTTCACCAAAAGCCGCGACATATTTTGATCCAACTCACAAATATAAAAAACCATTTACATTAACGTCAATGAAAATAACTCAAACATTTTTGTCAAATATTAAAACGCCTTTATTTAAAGAATTTAACATATACGAAACTATCGATGCTAGAATTGCTGATTGGAGTAAACATTTTGATATTTTACTTGGAAATTATGATTTAGAACGTTTACGCGCATTAATAGACTACCAAACTAAAACACTGACATTAAGAGCTTTTAATATTATCATCCCTTTCGACACTTTATATAACAAAATTCCAGTTAATATAAGTAGTGGCGAAATACTTTTCCCCGAAATTAAAATAAATAACATACAAATTCCCGAATCAATACACACTGTTACAAACGGTTATATAGATGACATTTACCTCCCTAGCCCCGAACAATTAGAACCAATACAAGTAGAAAATTTAGATAATTATGAAATCTCAGAAGGTCCGATAAATTTTGACCCTTCAATAATTCGTACTCAACATTTAAATTTAGAGGAAAAAGAAAAAATTTTAAAATTATGTAAGAAATATAAAGACATTTTTTATGACGAAAAATCAGACTTAACTTTTACTTCAGCTATAAAGCATTCAATTAGGACACGGGATGAAAATCCTATCTATGTTAGAGGATTTCGACATCCAAAGGTAATGCAAGAAGAAAAAACTAGAAGAAACTTTAGATATCAGCCTTAACGATTATTTCAAAAACTCATTAAAAACTGGACCACTTTCTCTGTTAAATACTCAATACAATCACATACATGGCGAAGCAAAAGACAACCTACATAAAATAACACGAAAACAGAAAAAAGGACTATTTAATTTTCTTGGCACGACTATAAAATACATAACCGGAAATCCTGACGACTCTGACTTAAATTTACTAAAGACTCACATTACCGCAATAGAGGTTAAACAAAATGAAATAATAAAAAAATTTAATAATCAAATCTCATTTGGCCAATCTATTGATACGAGATTCAATAAACTTTTAGAACAAGTAACTAAAAATAATAGAGCCCTTTTACTAGCAATTAATAAATTATCAGCTGATTTTGATGGATACATTACCCTACATAATGAAATAATAAATCTTCAAAACATTAACGAATTTCTTATGAAACTTATTCGGACAATTACCCTTTCACATTTAAATTTGTCAAATATAGAATTATTTACTCTTAAAGAACTCGAGGACTTAAAAGAAAACCTTATAAAAATTTACTCAAGAAATGCCCTACTCGTCGATGACGAACACCCATATGAACTTATCGAATCATCTAAATCTCTAGTTTGCGTCACACCCAATACAATGCTCATAATTCTCAAAATCCCAATCCTCCACGTTAACGCTTACCCCACCTTTAGAATTTATCCTATCCCTAATAATGATCACATAATGGTTTTGCCTCCTGCACACTATTATGCCAATAGCAAATGCTATGAAACATGTACCGGCCAAGCAGATTACACTATATGTGCCAAGCCCGTGAAGTCCAGATGCCTCATCCCTAATGTTCAAAATTGCACCAAAACATTGATCACAGAGAACTTTTCACAGGAAACCCGAAAAGTAATTTTATTGGGAATAGTCCACCCAATAATAATAAATCAACAAGAAATCCGAAAAAGCAGCATCCTGTTGTCAGATGAACCTATCGACATAGAAGGAATTCACTATGATAAGAAAACTATTCAAGAAATGGCCATTCCAGAAGTCATCCCAATTAGACTAATTCCAGAACATAAATTAAAAATTGAAAAATTGAATATTCCAGAAAGCCACGGACAACTCCAACCAATAGAGCCAATAGCACTTATGCCACAAATTTCAACAGGACTCAGCACTGTCGCCCTTGTCCTTATAATTCCTGTTTCAGCCATCCTTTTTACTATCGTAGTAAAGAAAAAGAAAAGAATATCAAAAATTCTTTTTGGGCCCAAACTACAACCAGCACAAATCCAGGTTCTTCAGGAGCTACTCGTAGAGACTTCGAGGACGAAGCCAGGACCAAAGGAGGGAGGAGAAATGTGATAGAAACCCACCGTTCAATGCCCGGAGTGCCTCGTCAGCAGTCAGCGCTTTGCACCTTGGCGACAATGAACCCGAGATTATAAATACCATGTCAACGTGGGAATCAACGTTCTTTTTATTTTAATCACTTACGATAAACATTGTTAATTAAAGAACCATTTTTGTATATTTTTTAAATAAATAAAGTTTGCTTTTTTTTGGAAACTTAAAGTGTTGTTAACTTAAGCCTTGGTTTCTTTGAACACTCCGTCGCGGTGAGCGGACAGTCCGTCGACCGCTGAGGACAGCAATTTTCGCCCGAGATGGTTTGTTAAAAAATATAGAAAATGATACTTTCTCTAAGTCTGTACGTGCTGTTTATGTATTATGAATGTAAACGAAAGGTACTAAAATGGATGCAAATAAATTGTTTACGTTGTAATTATTGTCGGAAGAGGAAGAACAAGAGGAACTGGCAATTGCAACCGTCAAAGTTTCCAATAAGCCAGTGGATGAGTTGTTTTTGTGTCGCGATACAGAAGGTGCCTTTAATATAACTGTGCAGCGGATGCTTTTTGGAAATGAAATCAAATTTAGGGAGTATTTTAGACTTTCTACAGATCTTTTTGAATTCGTGTTGAGTTTTATAAAGGACATAATTTCCAAGAAACCTAAAAATAAAGTCATGATGTCATCTGTATGTGTGAATTTGTCACTCATTGTTTTAAAATTAATAACAATATAGTCTCCGCACACGCCGACGATTCCGCTGATATCAAACTCAACAGATATCAACCGACTCTTCGCGACAAATCAGCGGCATGACGCCGTCCTGCTCAGCTAAGCGCATTCAAGAAAACCATTCCCATTTAAATACTCTGGTTGGATAAAATCGTCAAAACGCGACGGTTGACGGACTGTCCGCTCACCGCGACGAAGTGTTCAAAGAAACCAAGGCTTTAACTATATCTAAGGTGGTTGCGACATAGCCGTCTATAGCCTTGGTTTCTTTGAACACTTCGTCGCGGTGAGCGGACAGTCCGTCAACCGTCGCGTTTTGACGATTTTATCCAACCAGGGTATTTAAATGGGAATGGTTTTCTTGAATCCGCTTAGCTGAACAGGACGGCGTCATGCCGCTGATTTGTCGCAAAGAGTCGGTTGATATCTGTTGAGTTTGATATCAGCGGAATCGTCGGCGTGTGCGGAGACTATATTGTTATTAATTTTAAAACAATGAGTGACAAATTCACACATACAGATGACATCATGACTTTATTTTTAGGTTTCTTGGAAATTGTCCTTTATAAAACTCAACACGAATTCAAAAAGATCTATAGAAAGTCTAAAATACTCCCTAAATTTGGTTTCATTTCCAAAAAGCCTCCGCTGCACAGTGATATTAATAAAGGCACCTTCTGTATCGCGACAGAAAAACAACTCAATCACTGGAAACTTTGACGGTTGCAATTGCCAGTTCCTCTTGTTCTTCCTCTTCCAACAATAATAACAACGCAAACAATTTATTTGCAACCATTTTAGTACCTTTCGTTTACATTCATAATACATAAACAGCACGTACAGACATAGAGAAAGTATCATTTTCTATATTTTTTTAACAAACCACCTCGGGCGAAAATTGCTGTCCTCAGCGGTCAACGGACTGTCCGCTCACCGCGACGAAGTGTTCAAAGAAACCAAGGCTTATCTTGGACACTATTTTTAGTCGTAATAGTACCTAGTCGCCAAGCATGCCAATTTGGGAAAAATGGGTAAGTAGTTTTTAAAAAAAATAATGTTTTCATTGTATTAATTGACATAAAATATTTAAATTTAATCCATTATTCATAATTTCACGTGTTGTAGATAGAATCTCGCAAACCCCTTACATATACCGATCCTTCCCCCACTGACAGTTCTTCCAATTGCCAACATTTAAAAACAAGGGGATGGGTTGGCTCAGTGGCTTTGAAATCGAAGGGTCTCAGGTTTTTCTTTAATTTAATGTATTATACATATTAAGTAATGCATAGGTAGGATTTTCCACTCGACCATTCACTGTTGGGTTCTAATTAACATGTGCTGTTCACAAAGTGGCGCTGGGAAACAGTAACAGCGGCTCCACTGATAGCGAGTCTAATAACCTTAGCAGTCGATACCTATGACACACAAAAACATTTTTTTAAACAAAATTGTCCTGTTTTTTGGAATTTTTTCTAAAATCAATATCGAAGTTGGTCCTTACTTTTGTATCAAAATGTATATGTGTGATGAATTATGTATTATGTTCAATTTGACATATTAAATAAGCTTATACTATTTATCTGTTCATTGTATTTTAAGAATAATAATAATAATAATAATAACGTTTATTCAGTAAGCCAATTGTATAAAACATAACAGCATTATAATGTAGCGGATATCAAGAATATAATAATAATGAAAAAGGAAAATGAATAATACAATAGAAACCTACCAAAATATGAACTTACTGAAAAGGACATATTCATCGTCAATCATACAAGATGAAAGAAGATGGTTTTCAATATATCCTGATGTAAAAAGCACAAAAAAAAGAATTATAACAAAGATTATAATAGTAAATCCCACAAAAAAGAGACAAACAAAATTATTAATTAAATAATAATAACTAACACCAATATATCTAATTATAGTACCTATCTAACAATAATAATAATACTACAATAATTATTAATTGATGCGAAGCATCAATGAAAATATTTTTGATAAATCTTAAATTTTAAACGATACTTCCATGTCACCATTTAATATATAACATATATAACAAGAATGACGATTTATTTTTTACTTTTCCGTATATATGAAAAGTAGTCACTGGTTTACCCAAAATAGAATCGATTTTTCGCGAATCTTCCTGTTTCATCCAATCACAATACGAGATGTATATAAACGGAATACCCGCCAGGCCTAGGCGCCAAGTTTCAAAACAAAGTAAATATTTATAATTGCGTTTTGAGAGAAAATAATCATATTGATAGTGAATTTAATCATTGTCTACTAAAAATGTCGCTAATACCACTTTTATTCGATGACTCTGCTTATTTCTTGCGACCATCAAGAGTTATGGATCAACATTTTGGGATGATGTTGGATCCAGATCTTCTACAACCAATAAATCTTTCAAGATTGTTACTACGCTCTCCTGCGGGTTATATCAGAAATTGGATGTCGGCTGCATCTAAATATGATTCAGGATCTACATATGGAAAGGATCAGTTTATAGCAAATTTGGATGTTCAACAGTTCAAACCGGACGAAATTAGTGTTAAAATTACTGATGAAAATACTATTACAATTGAAGGAAAGCACGAAGAGAAAGAAGATGAACATGGACATATCTTCAGACATTTTGTGAGAAAATACACTTTACCGAAAAACTACAATATCAGCCAAATGCAATCTAAGTTGTCTTCAGATGGTGTTCTAACCATTACAGCGCCCAGGATTGACGTTGAACAAATAGAATGCAAAAACATACCGATTATTCAAACTGGAGAACCAGTTAAATCCATTGAAGAAAAGAAAAACGATAAGCAAAAGTAATTTGCAAGAATCATTTAATTTTTGCATTAAAAATAATACGACCACAAAAAATGTTTCTAAAGAGAGATGAGTAGTGTTATATTGATATTTGAATTAAATCCAAACTGGCACTTAAAAAGAAGGCGTGAATTTTGTCATGGCCTACTTTGGAAACATTTTTTTGTGGATCGATCTATATAATTATTATTATGTTGTAATACCTATTATTGGTATGCCTTTTTATGACTGATATTATGAAGCCTACTTATACATATATTTTTTAATAAAGATTGCAATTGTTTTATTTTTAATCCAATTTGTTTTTTACAAGAAAATACGCTGTTCTCCCCAGACAACACACCAAATCCCAGAGATATCCACAGAATATCTTTTGTGGATATCCAATACATCCACAGGATATCAGAAATATTCCGTGGATCTAATATGGATATCCAAATGTCCGTCTATATCCAGAATATAGAATAAGATATCATATGGATATCCAGCAAAATGATCTAATGAGTATCTTCCAGACAATACAAGAAATCCCAGAGATATCCACAGAATATATTCTGTGGATATCCAATATGGATATCTAACCAAATGTCCGTCTATATCCCAGGATATAGAAGAATTCGGATATTCAGCAAAATATTTTATAGGTATCTTTAGTAGAGGTTCATAAGTAACCAATGTTTATTGAATAAAGTCGAAAGAAAATAGCAGAGATAAAAAATATTTTCAACACTCAAAATATTTTCAACACTCTGCCTTTGATTTTGCCCCCTAAGGAGAAAGTTATCCTTATTAGGACTCTTCAGCAATAAATGGAAATTCTCGACTCCAGTCTCTAATGGAGTCTGATTTTGAAAAAAATTTCGATCGAACTCAATTACGGCGGGTTGAGCATGAGTAGATGCGAAAGTAGTACCGCCATCTATACTTATAATAAGCAAAATCAAAAATTATATCTAGTGGATATCCACGATGGTTTGCGTTCGCGCCTAGACTTTGATATATTTAGTGGATGTCCATGGGATATTGAATACACCTTAAAAAAATTAATTTTAAATATCTGAACGGTACTATTAGCCACAATGGCGAGCACAATGGCCTAATTTTTTAATAATTTGCTATATAATTACTATTATTTATGGACATTTGCATGTCTATAAATTACATTTCATGGATATAAAATAGATATCCACCATGGACTGGACATTCAGTGGATATTGGGATGTTCAGTAGATATCCAAAGGATTTGGTGTGCTGTCTGGGTATCCCCCCCCTGGAGCCGCCCTTGATTTCTAGTTCATTATCTGATCATAAAATGCCCATGTTAAAAATCAACTATTTGCTATCTGTATGCCACATATTATTCACCTCAAATCTGAATTGTTCTTCAAAGAGTAACTCTAAGTTTATTGATGTCAACGATTGGTAGGTATCTTCAAGTTTAAATTAGATTTGGGAAAATCTTTGTTATTAGCAAAAATTGAGATGAAATATTTCGTATGTGGTTGAACAAATCAAACGAATATAATAAAAATTGTAAAAGTCCTAGTACCAATCCTTGTAGTACTCCAACTTTTATGATGGACGTTGAAAACTGATTATCTATTACGACCTTTTATGATCTGTAAGTCTTAATAAAATTTAAAGCACAGAAGTCAAAACCAACATGGTTAATAGTTTCAAATGCTTTGCTAAAGTGTAACAAAACTAGAGCTCCTGTTTTTTATGAAACTAGACTAAATTATGTTGTCTGTTAAATTAGTTGTACTTTGACTATAGCCCTTTCTAGAACCAGATTGATACCTACTCGTGTATAGAAATTATATTGTTGTTCAACTCTAGAAATGTATTAATTTGTACATAAGCAGCATAAATAAATATTAAACGTAAAACTTATTGGTCTTGTCACTATAAGATTCAGGGTGATATTTTTTTTAGTAAAGGTCTAACAAGAGCCAATTTTTTATTTGGATAGGAAATGTCTTTCATGACAACTACTACTAATTATATGCAACAAATAAATATCAATGACCATTAAGCACAACTCTAGTATTTTTAAATTTATTCCATCATTACCTGCTGCATTAGACTTGATGTTCTTAATAGTATTGTATAAGGTATCAATTCCAATTATATTTAAGCTAAAATTAATGTCCTGTTTTATTTTGAGAGCGATATTTAAAAATTGATACCAAACAATTAACTTCATTATCCTCGAATACAGAGATAAAATAATCATTTATTTTGTGTGGAGTGGATAAGGGAGAGGGTGTATCTATGTTTTTAAAATTTTAGATTTTATAGTTTTCAAAAAATTAGAAGTGTTTTGTTTTTTCAAATAAGCTTTTTCCCTTTGCACTGAAGCCAAACCAAAATTCTGTTCCTTGTACCCCATCCAATTAGTATCAGTTCTATTATTTTTGCACTTGCCTAAGGCATCATATGTTCTTTCAAAATTAAGCCAAGGAGTCTGAGGCTTGCTAAAACGAGCAGTATGTACTGGACAGTAGTTGAATAACAGAATTAGTTAAAAATTGTATTTTACTATCAATATCAGAGTATTTAAGTACAGATCAGATACAATTTTATAACCTAGGATAAAATCAGTATATAAAAGATAAAATAGACTGTGTTGTCAAAATTCTCTGGAAGACTCAAATGTAATGAAATCGAAAGCATTTACCTTTGCCTACCATTAATCGAAAGACTATAGACTATTTTAAAGCAAACTATTTATTAAAAAAAAATAATACAAATTAACTGGATATTGAACTACTAGGTAATAAAAATAATAAACAACTATCAGTCTCTTTATAATAATATTAATGACGAACGAATGAATGAACTGGAACATAGTTTCTACATCTTGTTTTTCTACGATGCATTTTCTGGTTTGTTCTGTACTGACCTAGCAGGTTTCCCAGTTTGTGAAATGGGAATATTTCTATCTACCTTATCACCAATAATTGGGGCGGTAATACTGAGGACTCCGTCTGAAGATAACTTAGATTCCAATCGACTGGTGTCACAATTCTTGGGAAGAACATACTTTCTTAAAAAATGTCTGTAGATTTGTCCATGCTCATCCTGTTTTTCTTCATGTTTCGCTTCGATAGTTACAGCATTGTCTCCAGTAACTTTAATAGAAATTTCTTCTGGTTTAAAATGTTGGACATCGAAATTGGCATGGAATTTATCTTTTTCAAGCACCGCTTGAGGACTAGTGTGCTGTTGTAAGGATTCGTTAAGATTTTTGATATCTAATAGGCTATTAACTAATGCCAAAGGTTGAATAACTTCATCCCACAAGTTTCTTCTCGCCGCTTCACGCCGGGTGTAGCTAGGAGTCATCAAACTATCGTCGAACCATAATGGTAATAGAGACATTTTTTTCTTTATTAAACACTGACTAAATCAATTTTAAATTTAGCACTGCTTCAATCTCTAATAACACTTTTAATGTACCTTTACAGTCTTTACACTGCCTAAAATTAAATGAAACTGTTGACAAAACAGCGCACTTGTTTTCATTTTGTTTCTTTTCAATCTTTTCGCGAACTGTCAAGAGCGTCAAGATATTTCCAGAATAATTCCGAGGTCCGAGAGGAACTTGTTATAAACACGAGTACATCATTCGATTATTCGAGAAGCGATTATTATTTCAATCATTCGATAGATACTGTTTTACTGTTGAAATTTTAAAATTTAAATACTATTTTAATTAAATTCATTTTTTTTTTCTACTATATATGCAACCAGTAATACACTGAATAAAAATTTAAATTCTGGCTTCTCACATGCTTTTTAGGGGGTTAAAGTTATTATGTAATATAAAATATGAAATTCAGTAAGTTAACTTGATTAATATATAACCGGAAAAACGCATATTTTTCTTAAAACAGTTATTCGTTGTTCCATATTTATTTTGTCAGTTTGTTAGGTATGCAACCAATAATACAGATAAAATTGTCAGTTTGACCAATCAAATGCCAGTTTCTCAAATATCTGTTCCATGATGTAAACCTTCGATTATGTCAAGTCGAATTCTAGAACACTTTTGACCAATCATATAACAAGCATGGTGGAAGAATACAGGTGAAGCGGTAAGCGGTACGAAATTTGGTCATTCTTGCGCATGACGTCACCTGCGGAGCATATTTTTGATTTGCCTATGTCTCCAATGTTAAAAAGCGACTTTTAAAGTTATTCTAATATTTTCCTGGTAGTGTTTAGAAGTTTATAGATATATTTATCTTAATATTTAATATCATTTCTATATATCAATAGGCCTGTTTAGAAATTATTGGTACATATTATTAAATTAATTTCTAATTAAGTTGGTAGTGTAATTGATATAAAGTTAGGTTATGTAACATTTTTGTTGTATTTTAAAGATAAAAGAAATAGTTTATATTCATTATTGTTATTTTCATATATCATTATTATTATATTATTGATACATTAAAATCTACTATATTTTAGGGTGTGTAGTTACTAACAAAATGCCAGGTTGTGCAGTGTTTGGCAGCAAGAACTATTTAAGAAAAACAAAGAGAACAAATATTAAGTATTTTGGATTTCCGAAAACAGATATAGCCAAAGCCTGGGTCAACGGTTGAGGGTGAAAAGATACAATTAATTTGAAAAATGGTATGATTTTTGCAAACCTAACTTGAATATGATTAATTTTATGTCTTGTTTCTTTTTTAAGCTTGTATTTGTTCCATACATTTTTCGAAGGATAGTTTTGAAATACCCTTACAACAGAGGCTATTAAACTACTCCACTAAGACTGGTAGAAACTTAAAACAAACAGCAGTTCCTACTGAAAATCTCCCATTGAAAAAAAGACAATTGTCTGCAGAAACTGAAGATAGATTAAGAAGGCAGGCAAAAAGATATCGACAAACATTTATTGAGAGCTTTGTTAATATTTCGGGGCATTCCAGACAATTGTCAACTGCAGACCAGGACAAGAAGAATCAAAGTTTGGAAACAGACACTCAAAATATATTGGTATCATCAGAACTAGAAACGTATGTACAAATTTACCTTATTAACAAAAAATGTGGCTTTGAAAAGAAAATTACACAACTTAGCATATACTAATTAACATTACAATCATTTCAAAACAATTTTTTTATTAAATATTAAACTTTGAAGTGATAATTGCTTTTATTTCAATATTAAAAATTAAATTATTATTTTAGAGAAAACTATTAAGAGTCTTCGTGAAGAACTAAACAAAATTACTGAAAAATGCAACAAATCAAATATAGAAATACTTTCATTGAAAGAAGAAATTAGCCAGTTGAAAAATAATTCTCAAGTGGAAATTCAGGAAAGTAAAGTAAATGTTTCACTCCGGGTCAAATAAATGTTTTATACAATGAAAATAAAAAAAGAATTCGTTGAAGTTCGGATGACATAGCATCCACAATCTCCCTAAGAGGCATTCGTCCTAAGGCTTATAGATTTTAAGAACTGTTCATTATCCTTTACCTGGGTTTACTACCTTAAGAGACTGGCCTAAATGTTTAAATTTAGAACAATAAATATACATTATAAAGTGTTAAGCAAGATAAAGAAGTAAACATTATGTATAAACCATTTTTAAACATAAATAAATCAATTTAAAATAACACCTGTGCTTTTTATTAAAATAAAGTATGTTTTGCCAAGTGTTTCTATTTATTAAATACATAAAGGGGTTTACCAGCACCCAACCATACAAGAAAGTAATTGATCTGTGCATACAAGTTATTGATATCCATGTTTGATGACTAATTTAAAATTAAATTATTACATTTATAATCTATAAAAGTGACCACATACTTCCAAACTGATTATTTAAGAAAATTGGCTACTAAAAAAATATACTGATCATAATAAAATTCATTTCACCTTAATTTTATTGTTCAGCATTCGTTAACATTATACACAAGTTTACTTGAATCGATTCAAAATTATTTATTGTTGAAGAATTAATTACATTCTTATTAACAAAAATAGATAACATAAGTTAAAATTCAAAGGAAAAGAAACAAAATACTTATTCATAAATGAAATTTTTTATTTTAAAATTTTTTAAATTCTAATATCAAGACAAAATATAATATAAAAACAAAAATGCACAACCTAAGTACAAATATGACAATCGAGAAATATATATACAGGAGTATACACATAAATTAAAATGAACTACTTAATTCAAGGAATCAGAAAAATTTATCCACTTTGTAGTATACCTTTTTGAGCAAGAGTTTCTTGCTTTTTAAACATATTTAATGAGTCAGCACTTCCTATTATTAATTAATTGGCAAGAGGTTAAACATTTTTCCACTATACAGGGGACACTACATATTTCAGTTTCACATTTAAATTAGTTATTTGTGTATGCCTTTTATTAGTTCCAATTTTTATCCCTGCTGAGCCACTAAAACTTTTTAATGGTAATGTCTCTGTAAGTTTAGGTACGTTTTGGCTATCATCTTGATCTCAATCTATCAGATAGCAATGCTAGGTATGAAGATTTAAATCCTAGATGTAACATCCTCTTCCAAGTTTTGTGATGGAAAAATTCAGTTTCTGATGAACACTATCTTTTTTACGCCAGAGAGAAACTATATTAGGCTAAATTCCTTACACCATGGCTAAATTCGAAATAAATTACCTACTTTTTTTGTATAAAAGCACAAAATATTTTTTTTATTTGGCATTACTTTTGTACAAGCCTCTATCTGCCTATAGTGACTTTTCTTGTAAGTATTATTGAGCATAACTTGATGTTATTTGACGCAGTTGTTATTTTCTTCTAAATATATTTTCAGTTTTATAATGATTATAGAACTAGGAAATAAAAGTTAAACTTCTTGACAATCATTACAAAATGTAAACAAAGCCATGGAATGGCATGGCAGTGTATAGGCGGCCGTGGCAATACCGATGTTGACGTCATAAAACCTGCGCACCGCTTCACCTGTATCCTTACACCATGATAACAAGCTAGTTTCTGGAATATTCCCACACAATTTTGAAATTTCTAGAAGGCAAACTTGACTATTTATTTTGGATGCGGCCGACTTTTCGTTTAGTTGAACGTTGAACGAGAACGAGATACAAGTGTAGGTAGAAAGTAATATTGAAAGAGTTAAAGGCAATTTAAAAAGGCTAATTGTTGATTGAAGGTGTATTATAATATCGTTTAAAAATGCTGTTCCCATTATTGTTGGAGGATAGTTCTTGGGCTCCTAAATGTCGCCAGTATGAATCGACTTTGGATATTTTCAAACCTCTAGCCGTTGTAGACGGCTTGCTAAAATTGTCGGAAATTGCTAAAGAAATGAAAAAAATGGATGCATGTTTAAAACAGGAAACTGGATCTGATTTTTTTTCCGAAAACAAATTCCATGCTAATTTCGATGTTCAGCATTTCAAACCAGAAGAAATTACTGTTAAAGTTTCTGGTGGTGTAATATCCGTGGAAGCCAAGCACGAAGAAAAACAAGATGAACATGGTCAGGTTTACAGACATTTTGTACGAAAGTACAAATTACCAAAGAATTGCGATTTAGATCGGTTGGAAACAAAACTGTCTTCGGATGGAGTTCTTAGTATTAGTGCACCTGTTATTGGAAAAAAGACTGATGAAAGATCCATTCCAATTACCCAAACTGGGAAACCTGCTAGAGCGCTAGAAGAGAGCGAGAAGAGTGAATTTGAAAATCCGAAAAAAAAGAAGAAAATTTCTAAGTAACTCATTTAGATTAAATTACATTTTTTGTTAGTTATCAAACAACGTTTAAAAATGTACTTAACTTTCAACTGCTTATTAGAATTTAAGTTTTTTGTATTTTTTTATTAAAATAAATATCACTTTAGATGTACATGTATTTTCTTTCTCATTTTTATTATATACAGGATGTTCCAGAATAAACTGGAGGCCCTGGGGAGGGCTTTCGAAGGTCATATGTAATTATTAAGAAAAGTTAAATATAATTTTCCTGTAAACGGCCCATTTTTCATTCTACAGAGTGATAAGTGAAGTTTATAAATACATAATTTTCTAAATAGGTATCTTCCCTTTTTACGTTACAGATTTTAACTTAAAAATATGTACTTTTGTTAGTTAATCACTATTATTAATTAATATACCTTAATTCGATATAAATTACGATAACCCATTGGCGTAGATGGAATCAAAAAAAAAATAATTTTGATCTAAATTTTTTGGTTGATGTCTATAGAATATTCCATTTTCGAGATTTTTTAGTATTAGTCCAACTCAAACATGAAAACTATGTGTAGATATAGTGACTTTAAAAGCCAGCCGGCAACATGCAAAAAAAAACGAAATTAGTAGAGGAGCATTCAAGAAATTGTCTGTCTGTCTGCCGTCCGCCGTCTGTTGTCTGGGCGTCTGTCTGTAGGCGCGATATCTCAAAAACGTCTTAAGGCCAAGTTCAATTTTGTTTGACATATCATCACGATTTTTTTTAGGTTAGAAAATTGCATTATCGATTTTTTTCATTCGAAGTAATAAAAGACGTCACTTTAAATTTCTATCTCTTTATGTCAACAAATTTCTAACACGATGAATTTATAAAACGTATGTCCCTTATGAATATGTGGCGGCAACTGACGGCAACACTGTCAGCTACTCCATGGCTACTAGAGTACATACAGGTCCGGTATAAGCCATGGAAAATAATAATTTAATGTTTTGATCGAGTTAAATACAATATCAAAATTAAATGTTTATTTTTAAGTAAACGACATTTTTAAATGTATACGTTTTCAATCAAAAATAATATAGGCTAATACTCAAGTGTATTATACGAGTGTACTGGACAAGAGATAATTTTACCCTTTACTCCAGTTTTTTGTAATGAAACCAGCGGTAAAATAGATATTTGTGTACCAAGGCTGTGTTTTGGCCGAATTTGACATATGCGTTCAAGTCAAGCCACTACTGGTTAAGTATAAGAGTAATAGGCAATAAACGGGTGTTCAATCAAACTTGACATCAAGATAGATGTCACATAAGCAGGAGTGCGTTTAGAAACCTCGCACGGCGCGTCTGACCACATGCATTAGAATAGGGTCCAGACGCGCCGTGCGAGGTTTCTAAACGCACTCCAGGTGTACTGAAGATGAACTTTGCAAGACCAAGCATCAGATAGGTAGGTATAACACTTGATATTCTGAAAACTATGTGGATACTACACTGAATGAGAAGGAATGGAAGTGTCAGTAGGAGGCTAAAGGCAAAAAATAGGCGGAACAGAGCCTAATAGATAGATAAGTAATATTTTAGCCAGGAGAGTCGATAAGTGTTATAAATATAGTTAATTTATGAATGTATTTTTAATGTATAATTTCAGTTTATTTTCATTTTTGGTATAAAACTATGGCTGACATAATAAAACTCTTAAAAGTATATATATTTTCAATCTTTATTACTATACATTATTTTTAGTATTCACTTATTCTCTCTGACCTAGGGAAAAGGTCAAAAAACCCTGGTCATAATTGTTTACAATGTTGCGTGTTCCTAATGATACAAAACATTACAGAGGAATGATACTTAGCCGATGAAATCTCATAGAGTTCACGCATGACATATTGTGGTATGGAATATGGCTATCTCTGATGCATCTGCGGATTAAAATTTATTTATGCGTACTGTTTTCTATCAACTGATACCCCAAATTTATACAAGCCACGTCTTCGCACCACAATGTGACATAGCATCAAATCTGCTTAATCTCGTACCATTTTTTTAAGTATCAAGGATATTCTTGGTGTAGCTGATCATCATATTTCGAGTCATTGAACCTAAAAAATAACAAATATCAATAAATAGAATTCGGAATTTATTCCAAAAATATTTTTCTTTGGGAATTATATAGGATTTCTCGTTAATATACAGACAAACTTTTAAAGGTGGTAGGTGCATCAAAATAAACATTTTTTTGCTTATTAAAATAAAAATAATTTTATTGCCCAACAAATTAATCCATTTACATAACAAAATACATGAAATAAATGTTAAACATAATATTTCGACAGAAAATAATTTCAGCAACAGCAAGAAAAAAAAAAGAAAAGAAATAATCCTAAATACATTAGCTACAAATTAGTACAACTAATGGTCGAAATAAATATCCCAATCAGAACAAAATTAATTAAAATTTGAGCACATTAGCGTTATAGGTGAATTTCTTCCTAAGTTCGTTCAAATACTTGCTGTATAAAATGTTTTATGATATCTAATGGCTGTTTGGGGAACATTAAAATTTATTTAATTTATCACAAATAGTACATCAATAGTGTTATGTAATATTTTATAAAAAAATGTAACACTGAAAATTACCCTTCTTTTTTCGAAAGAAGCAGAGATTCTTCAATACCTCGAATTATATACAGCTCATCTATTTTAAAAGAAAGGTACTTAAGAGATCGCCGCTGAACATTTTCCAATGATCTTTTATGAATATTATAAATAAGGTTCCAGACAAGAGATGCATATTCTGGCCTGGAACGAACTAAAGAAAAGTAAGGATCTCCAAGCTTTAAGAGTTTGTTAAAGAACCAGTATTACGGAATTAAGAACCCTAAGCTTTTCAACGCAGAAGCAACCTCGGAAGCAACGGTATTTTCAATATAATCCGAAAAAGTAACTTTTTGGTTGAATAATATACCTGCTTAATCTTCAATTTGTGCACAAGTCCGATAAAGGTAGGCTGTTAAATAAATAATCAAACTCCACCTTGTTATTACTTCTAGTATAGGAACATACTTTACATTTAGACACATTCATAAACAGCTTGTTTTCATTACACCAATTTTCAACGATTCCCAAGTTGAGTCTGTAAAAAGTAACAGTCTTGAATTGATAAGATTGAGGTAAATATTTTTAAGTCAGCAGCGAACAGCAGGTTAAATTTATTGCCAAGTCATTTATAAATATACTAAATAATAGTGGCCCCAGATTGGAGCTCTGTGGAACTCCAGATGTTGCTGTGAGGGGTGAAGATGAAAATCCGTTGTAAAAGACATAATTAAAACGATGATTTAGGTAAGATGAAAATAATCTCAACAGCGACTGATCAAACCCTAAGCTTTCCAACTTCCTTACAAGAATATTATGATTTTTAATTATTACAAAATACATTATGGGCAGGTTGTACAAAAAATATTCTAAACATATTTTAACTAACAAGAGTTTTATTTTTAACTAGTTATATTCAAAAACAAATGTCATTTTTAAAACTATGTTTAACAATAACCGATGAGTATACAACAAGGTTCACAGTTTAAACTAAGTCTACATTTTAACTGCCTATTGTACAACCCGCCATATGTACAATTAAAAATTAATTGTATTTCTTTAAAATGCACTTGATTCTATTGATCAAAACCATTCGATAAAAAAAAATAAAAAGTATTGGTATAAAGGTGGTTTTTTATATCTATGCCATAATGCATGCATTGGAGTAGCATGTAGATTACCTAAGTATCAGATCAGAGATATTAAAATTAAATAACATATGTAGTGGGATTCTCATCTTTCAATACGTCTCCTATAGAGACTCCTATCTTTGTTCGACAGACAGCGATTTTGATGTAATGACTCTCTATTCTGTATGTAATGTGTCGAGTTGGCACAAAAGAATCGCTGTTCTGATCAGAAGAAATTAACCACATCAAAGGAAGAAAATTAGGTCCCCTGTTATTTTTAATTTATATTAATGATTGTTAATGTTGCAATAATTAATATGACATTTACCTGTTTGCCTTTGATGTCCTTATCTATGTTTCTTGTAAGTTGTAAGGATTCAGATAACTAAGAGTTAATAATTGTCAATGAAACTCTGCAAAATGTTTATAAATGATGTTGCAATCATTTGTTAAAAATCAACACAAATACCTAAAACAAAATATAAGCTGATAAGTAATAACTATATGCAGTTTGTGGACAAACAATATAGGAAATTGGAAGAAAATCTATACAGTTAGTAGAAAAATTCAAATATTTAAGGGTAATTATTCGGAAACAGATGAAATTCACAGACCATAGGCAAATACTGTTTTCCTACGACCACTTAGGAATGTGACACATATCACACTATATAGTCCTATGGAAAGTGTCCTATATCACACGCGTATGACTAAGAATTTACTTTCCACCCAAGTGAGAATAGGTATGTTACTTTCCGCAGTAGTTGTCAAAAAATGTCAAACACCTAATTTCTATTTTGATCTATGTAATGTCCATATTAATACTAAAATCGATATGATTGTTAAATTATTGAAATTGTTTTAAATTAGATCCTAGATATTTGTCTTTAACAATTATTATTAAAATAATTTTAAAATAACTAAGATTATGTTTGCTCTTTAATTTGGGTAAATACATAACCGATTAGATCATTCAATTGACGTAAGGCCCATTAGCTCAGTTGGTTTGGACGTCGAACTTATCAACTTTGCCATTTTTCGACCGCGTTCAATCTATGGTTCAAATCCTGGCGGAGCAGAATTATTTTTGTTTTTTTTTTTATTTTTTATTAGTTTTTTTTTATTTAGAAAATATGAAAATTGAATAAATACGATTATTGTTGATTATTTTTTTAAATACATTTTAATTAATATAGTAATAACCTTGGTTTTACATTTTTTTGATATTATTTTGTAAGCTAATTTCTATTTTTATCTATGTTATATCCATATTAATACTAAAATCGATATGATTGTTAAATTATTGAAATTGTTTTAAATTAGATCCTAGATATTTGTCTTTAACAATTATTATTAAAATAATTTTAAAATAATGTTTGCTCTTTA